AGGTAGCAGAAAAATGCAATATATGTATAAGCAGAATTAAACAAGGTAACTGTTAATGTTGCTGAAGCTGATTCTAGAATTTTAATTACGGAGGTTAAAAGGCCTTTTAAGGCCTCCGTAGTTTTGATGGAATGTTAAAAAAACTATTATGAACATGACATGGAGCTACAGCATTTAAAAATTAAAAGAAACGAAAAAACTTGGACACATCCCTTTTAATTTCCCGAATTTTTAATAAAGCCCTTTTTAAACGTAGGATAATAATCTAGAGCAATTAGATTAATTATAGGAATCTAGTGTTTTATTTCTATTTAATTTTATTGACTATGAAAATACATAATAAGCGTTCACGTGTTGTGCGAAATATTAAAATAATAATATAAATAATATACCGCGTACTATGATTGAAAAAAATAGCGTCAGCCATGACTAAGAAATGAAGATCGCTGTCATTTTATATGGGAAATGTCCTCAATCGTCATTTCCCAACCAACTGAACGCCGTTTTTTCGATCATACGGTATATATTGACAAAAAAACACTGTAATGCACATATTTGTTTTCTACTGAAAATATTTCCAAAATAACTTGCAATCTGGCAACATCGAAGATGTACGCATGCGTAGTGTCTGTGACTATATGCAGCAAAAACTCGTTTCAAGGTCAGCCACCGGATCCACACCATTACCACCCATTACCGTTAAAATACCGTATGATCGAGAAAAAACGGCGTCAGCGATGGCTATGGAATGAAGATCGCTGTCATTTTATATGTAAATTTATATGAGAAATGTCATCGATGTTCATTTCCCAGCCAACTGGACGCCGTTTTTTTTCGATCATACGGTATTTATAATCCAGTAAAATTGTATCGCCGTATAGAGTGAAAAAAAATTAAGGGCAAGCTGATTTTTTCAGAGTTTGTCAGCGACTGTCTTCCGAGTGTAAAATTAACAAAATCGGAAATTTTCCCCTTGCGGTTTTTGACCAATAGGGGTGGTTTTTTTTTAAACTGTACTACAACAAAATAATTAGACGCAAATTGTACATAAGAACAATCTATAAGTTCGCCTAATGAATTTTTTTTTATAAGTTTATTATTTCATGAGCCCTTTGGGGTTGTTTTCAAAAAGTTTGTTTTACAGCACATTGCCCCGTATGAAAGTTGTTCATAATAAATGGATAAGCAACTTTTCCTCATTAATTTTTTTTGTAGCTTGATTATTTTTGGAGATAGCGTCCAGTTCATGAACAAATTAGGGTAGTTTTCAATATTACTCTTTTTTCAGCACATTCACCCTAGGAAACCCATTCAAAATAAGAGTACATATACCTTTGCCTTATGAACTTTTTTGTAACTTGACTATTTTTGGAGATAGCGCCCAGATCATGAACAAGTGGTGGTAGCTTTAAATGTCTTTTTTTTTAGGAAATTCACGTGTGCTATTGGAAAATGGATTCGTGTTTTATTTGCAAGGAATCATTGATAATGTTGCTGAAATTGTGGATGTTCAGAAAAAATGCATGTAATTTTAATATGAACACCTTTAAGTTGGTAAATTTGTAGAACTAAACAAAAATTATGAAACTACCTCAATTCATGAACTGGACGCTATCTCCAAAAATAATGAAGCTACAAAAAAATCATGAGGAAAAGTTGCTTGCCCATTTATTATGAACAACTTTCATAAGGGTCAATTTGCTGCAAAACAAACTTTTTGAAAACCACCCCAAAGGGCTCATGAAACGGCCGCTAATCCGGAAATAATAAACTTATAAAAAAAATCATTAGGCGAACTTATAGAAAATGTTCTTATGTACAATTTGCGTCTAATTATTTTGTTGTAGTTAGTGATGTTGGTAGCGAATATTTTCATTCGAATTTTGCAGGAAATTTCAGAAATTTCCGTAATATTCAGTCCCCAAATCGCGAATATTCGCAAAAATGTAAGAAATTTCTTTTCAAAATTCAAGACATTGAGCAAAAATTTAACGAAAGTGTATCAAGTATGCCTATTCTTACATAATTAAATTAAATATCACCAACAAACATCCTCAGTTTATCAATAATAAAGAAGCCATTTTTACAGATGTCACAAATTATTGCGCCAAATCGGGTTTATGGGCTCTGGACTACTTTTGGATGTCAGTTAAAAATGTAGACTGTCTAAGTTGGTCGCTAGCAATGTGTAAAAATACTTAGTTGAAATATTTAGCTGTTGCTCTGAGGCCCGATTCTGTAAACACTTCTCTTGTCTAGTGACTCATCAATCGTATACAAATAGCATAGGCTAGACAGGAAATTTCTTACTTTTACTTTACCAACGTCATCTGCAGTCACTGAGAGAAGTTTCAGTACTTACAGTTTTATCCATACTAAAAAAGAAATCGCTTAACTGCACAAAGAGCTGGCAAAATAATGTTCGTAGCTCATAACAATGAATTACTACTACAAAAACAAAAAGTGGATATGGCGCATGATATTCAACATGAAACTCCTCCAGAACCACTAGACTCCGTAGAGGTACAGGTCCATCCTTCAGAAACAGAAATCAGAACCAGATGATACATCAAATAAATATATCTGATTTGGAAATAGAAACTGATGAAGACAGTACTACTACTACTATAATACCCTATGAAGATGGGACCAGCTCGGCGTCTGAAAGTATTCCGGAATAGAATAATTCAGTTATTTGTGTTTTACGTTTTTTAAATTTATATTTCGTGCTTTTTTGTTTTTTTTTTAAAGTTCATAGTCATTGTTCATGGTTTATGTACAAAGTACAAATTTTACCAAATAATTTTTGCTATGTGTTATGCAAGTGTTATGTTTATGACTTTTCTGAGGTATGTATTGTTTATTTAAAATATAACAACTAATATTATGTTTATTGTTTTTTTTTTCACTTACATGTTGGTATCAAATGTCTATCTAATTTATTCCTTTATTGTATCAACAAAAAATATGTAAAATTGTAAAATTTCCTAAAATTCAACAAGTAACAACCAAAAATTTCTGAAATATTAACATCACTAGTTGTAGTACAGTTTAAAAAAAACACCCCTATTGCTCAAAAACAGCAAGGGGAAAATTTCCGATTTTGCTTATTCTACACTCAGAAGACAGTCGCTGACAAACTCTGAAAAAATCAGCTTGCCCATAATTTTTTTTTCAAATGACAATTTTATTGGATTATGATAATATATCGTGGTTATCCCTAGATAGAATCTGGATAAAATGAAATAAAAAACAATCACAATTTATGTCATATATTCACATTCACAAAAAAGATAAAACATTCAGATTCTAGCTTCCACGGCTTCCACCACAAAGGAAAAACACCCAGCTAAGCTACACAGATTTATCTAACATACCAGTATTCAAAAGTAAGTCTGAAAAATTCGGAACTTCTTTGTCAACTTTTTAATAAAATATATATCAGGTATATAATTTTATTCGAATAAATATTTGTCCTACGTCTAATAGAAAATGAAAATTTGTACAGCCTTAAATATACAGTGAAGAAATATGCAAAGAAAAAATAATTTGGCTGTTCTAGTTGCAGAACTTTTACGATTTTTTTCAATTAAATGTTTTTTATTGCAAAAACAGAACTAAAGTTCTTCTCGCGTAAAGTTTCTCAAAAATGATCCGTCAAAGTAGTTAAAAGTTATTACATATTTTTTTTTAATAAAAATAAGTTGGTATGAGCACAGCCTATTAATAACCAGCCTGACTACTTAGAATTCAGATCAAATGTATGAATCAACCAATAGAAGAACGAGTTTAGGTAATGTTAAATGTGCAATAAGAAACATTTTGTTGAAAAAAAAATGTATAAAAAGTTCTGCAAAAAAATCAGACCTATAGAAAAATTATTCAAGAAATGTCAACAAAAAATTGTTAGAGATATTTTAACTAGAGACATATAAACGTCTTCTCTTTTTTTTAAATTGTCTACATTTGTATTAAAAGAAAAATTGTAGAATGTTTTGTTACGGAGAACAGACCAATTATACAAGGTGTACCAAAAATGTTTGGAACAAATGGATTTTTTCTATTATTGAGTTATCATTATATTAATTTTTTTGGTTGAACTTAGACTTTAATTGGTTAGAAAAATTTGTAATTTTTAAATTTATACAATACACTTACATTAAAGCACCTACACTTAAATTTACTTATTTTTTTAAATCATGAATATCAAAAGTGAAAAGTAAAATTTGATTTAATTTATATGTACCTAAGTTTCATAAATATACAGGGACTTTCAAAAAATATCAATTTGTCTAATGTTATCGAAAGTATTTTAAAAATTAGTATTAAGTAAATTAAGAAATTAATTAAATTAAGAAAAATTAAGATTATTAATTAATCATGGGAATAAAAATTCAAGGCCGTGACACACGAGCTAAGGAGATGAAAAGTGGTAACGATCGCACGATAACGCAAACACCAAAAATATTTGATTTAAAGCTAAGAAAATCATTATAATAAACTTGATACTGTACCTGTGTACCAATATCCTCTGGTTGTGTGCTAGAAATTAAATTTTCATTTACATTTATTTACAACCACATCATTAATTAAAAAATAGGGACAGCATTTTATTTTGAAAAAAAAAATAAATATGCGAAAATTTGTCGTTTTCTGTTTTGGCATTTCCATATCTATAGTTACCGGTACCAGTGGTTGTTATGGCGCAAACCTTCAACAGCAAAACAAACAACTAAGTGACAGTTTGGAATTTCTCGTTCGCTTTTTCGAATTTATATAACATAGAAAGCCAGACTGTTGTCGGAAAGTTCTGATAATGAAGACTACTTTAATACTGGTACTCCACCAGAACTTACAGAAGCTGCAAAAAGAGCAGAAGCCAGTTTACTTCCAGAGAAAAGTAGGGGGCGATATGAAATAGCATTGAAAGTATACGAAAAATGGTGTGCCGAATGAAATGCTAAGAATATTGCTTCGGAGACAGTCTTGATGGGATATTTTAGCGACATGGCAAGGCAGAAAAAGCCATCTACTCTTTGGGCTACGTACAGCATGATACAGACAATGCTAGAATTAAGGGAAAAGACTGACATATCAAAATAATGTTAGAATACAAAAATACAACAATAATGACTTACCCTGAACGTAGATTTGTTATTTTTTGTTATAACTTAATCCTAATTTTAAAAGTCAAACGTGCACACACAGACAACATATAATACAGGTACATTATTGAAATTAATTTTTAAGTAGCCCGCTAGACGGCTATTCCAGCACTGCTTGATATACTTTACTAATGTTGTTCGTTTTTTGTTTATCATTTACCGCGTTGGTGTTTTGAAGGGGTAAAAATTATTAAGTCTGAGTTTAATACAAAAAAAAAGGGAACTGTTAGAATCCATAACCATCGAAAAAAAAACACCAACGCGGTAAATGATAAACAAGAAACGAACAACATTAGTAAAGTATATCAAGCAGTGCTGGAATAGCCGTCTAGCGGGCTACTTAATGGAAGAGGGAAGAAATGTAGATAATTTGACACTTTCAATTTTTTTAAAAGTCAGTATCTAATATCAGTATTACATATGTGGTTGTAAATAAAAGCTCTTAATCGTGGGGACCTGTTCGTCACAAGACCCAATCACGGTATCGCTCATCTCTACTCTATATTATCTAGGGACTTCTTTCAACTGATCAATAAAACAATTACCCATTTGTTCCGAACTTTTTGGTTCACCTTGTCAAAATAATAAAAATACGAGACAAAAAAATATTTTCAAGAAAAAGATATTTCCTTATGCCGAAATAATAATCAAAAACGTCTTTTTATTCCTTCAAACTTCCGTCCGTGACGTTCAATAGTCCTCCAAATATTAAATGATGCTCGGCTGCATGTTGTGATCGCCCGGAATACCGGAAATACCGGGGTTGGTATTGATGGTATTGTTAGTCGGGGGCATGGAGAAGATGATGGACCGTATTAGACCGTCGCGCACTCCCCCACCTTCGCCCCCTTGACCTTGGGAGAAGGTGAACGTGACGCCGTTACAGGTGGACTGGTTGGGGTAGCTGCCGATGGGGTACCAGCCCACTTTGTTCAGAACCACGCCTACCTTATATACCTGGGGATAATGGAGAAACTTATTTAAGGTCGCTATAGGCCTGGTGCATTTCAGTTGATTTCAACAAATTATTCTGACCGTAGCGCTCTCTACGGCAGAAATCAGAAAATATCAATATACAGGGTGGCGCACCTCATTCGCCTCGGTTGATTATACGAAAACGGAAAGATGTAGAAACAAAATATTTTATGGGTACATGTGGGAAGACAATGTGCATAATTTAAAATTATTTTCAAATGTACAGGGTGCGTCAGAACTAAGATCCATACCAAAAAGCCAGAATGTTGTTTGAAAACTGGTTATTTTTTCTTATGGAACACCCGGTATTTTATTTCATTTTTGGATTCTTGGGCATAAAATAAGGCATTTATTATAATGGTTTAATATGTTTAAAAGCTTTGGTTTTTGAGATATTTAAAGATATTTCAATATGCATGCTAAAATAAAAAAATTTGTCAACACCTCGTACATTACTTTTCAGAATTAATTCTTGTGCTGACTTTCAAGCCAGAGAAATAAACTTGATTGTTTCCTTAAATGTATACAGGGGTATCAAAAATTGTTAGTCTATTTTAAATATTTATTTTACATAAAAACTTCGTTATTTCAAATGCAACACTCTGTATTTTTTTAAATAAGTCGAAGTAGATTTAAATGCTCTTTCAAACTATATTAGGGTTTCCTATACCTATTTGGCTCAGATTTTGAATAAAAAGCGATTTTTCAATAAAATTGTAATCAAGATGGCTGGTGTCGCCATGGCAATTTTCTAGTGACACTTAGTAGCTATTTTCAAAATCGACATCAGTTTATGGACTTTATTTAAATTTATAACAGGTTATTTTTATTTAATTTATCTACAATAAAGTTATTAAGTAAGTATTTATTATTTTATCAAGAAAAATGAAGCAGTATCTGCTGACGGAAGGGACGGTTTATATGTTAATAGTGATATTTTGTCAGGACAATTGCTTGTTAGCCTGAAGGGTTTATCCTCAAATATATCCAAATAGGATTTTTTTTTGACAAGCGTTCCTTTGAAAAACAACTTTTCCTATTTCGCACAGCTGGTAGTGTGGTTTATGAATATTAGGCAGAAACCTGTCGTTGGAAGTGTAGAAAATGAATTTGCCTTAATTGGTTCTTTTATTGAAAATCCAATATATCTACAAGTCATCGTAATATAAATCAAAAAGAACTATTCTTTATTTTTTTTGCTAAAATAATAAATACTTATTTATTAAACTATTCTAGGTAAATTAAATAAAAGTAAACTGTTAAAAATTTAAATAAAGTCCATAAACTAATGTCGATTTTCTGTGTGATATTATCCAAAGAGGATTCCGCATCGCTGAGAGATGGTGCAGGACTGTCGGGCTGAGTATTAACTCAGATAAAACCGCAGTAGTGCCATTCACCAGAAAGCGAAGTTTGAAAAACTTGAAAAGAATCCATCTAGATGGAAAGGAAATACTGCCATCACAGGAAGTGAAATATCTGGGAATAACCCTGGATAGTAAACTTCTCTGGAACAGGCATATTAAGAACATTACCAGCAAAGCCACAAAGGCTCTCATGATATGCAGAAGACTGGCGGGGAATAGGTGGGGCTGAGCCCCAAAAATTTTGCGCTGGATGTATACCATGATAGTAAGACCCATGATTACATACGGAGCAGTTGCTTGGTATACAAAACTAGAGCAACGTACAGCAAGGCAAAACCTGTGCAAAGTACAGAGACTGGCATGTATCTGCATCACAGGTGCCATGAGAACATGTCCAACAGCAGCAATGGAGGTCACTTTAGACCTAACACCACTGCACATTGTCGTCGGTAGTTATGCCAATGCGATAATGATTAGAATGGTCATAGACGGAAATAGTACTGGGAGAATTTTTAGGTCAGGGGCTTGGAAAACCCTCAAAAAGAAAATTCCACTTCTCCAACTCCCAGTGGATGACATACCAAGAATTTACAACTTTGAGAAACACCTCACTGTAGTATTGAGTAATAAAAAGGATTGGGAAGGAAGAAACGCTTACTCAGCATATAAAAGACCATAACATAACGTGGTATACTGATGCTTCCAAAACCAAAGCAGGGACAGGGATAGGAGTATTTGGGCCGAAAACCAAATACTCCGAATCAATGGGCACCTACCCCAGTATCCTTCAGGCAGAAATTTGCGCTATCGAAAGATGTGTACAATTTATCTTAGATAGAAACTATCGAAAACAGGAAATTGCCATCCAATTCGATAGTCATGCAGCACTAAACGCGATCAACTCAGTAACCATCAATTCAAAGTTGGTCAAAGAATGCCTAGAGAAGCTCAACAAGTTGGGCAAAGAAAATAAAGTCCTCCTACTCTGGGTGCCTGCTCACCAAGGGATAGAAGGCAATGAAAAAGCAAATGATCTAGCTAGGAAAGGAGTGAACACTCCACTAACTGGAACAGAAGCGTTCTGTTTTCCAAGCGGAAACCAGCTGAAAGCGGAACTGAAGAATCTGGAAGACTCCAACCGCAACTTGGAATGGGTGTCCTCCAACGGTCTAAGACACTCGAAAAAGTTCCTTAGAACTTATGACCGAGAAAAATCAAAGGTTTTCCTTGATTTAAGTAAAACAATCTTCGGATTGTCACGGGGGTTTCTAACAGGACACTGTCTCCTCAACGAACACCTCAGTAGGCTGAAACTGAGAAACAACGGCGAATGCAGATTTTGTGGGGAAAATGGGGAAACACCAGAACACCTTATCACTGTGCGCCGAGACGACGACCATTCGTGCCATGAACCTTGGCACGTCTGATGTCGAGGATGGAGAGCTGGCCTCTGTGGAGCCGTCTCAGATACTGGCTTTTCTTAAAGCCCTGAGACTGTATGATGAGTTATAACTCGTTATAACTCAAGAAAGGGGAACACACAATAGATCTATAAGGTCGCAGTGATTAACTCCCCTCTTAAACATTCTACATTCTACAATGTCGATTTTGAAAATAGCTACTAACTGTCACTAGCAAATTTCCATAGCGATAACAGCCATCTTGATTGCCATTTTATTGAAAAATCGCTTTTTATTCAAAATCTGAGCTAGATAGGTATAGGAAACCCTAATATAGTTTAAAAGAGCATTTAAATCTGCTTCGATTTATTTAAAAAAATACAAGGTGTTGCATTTGAAATAACGAAGTTTTTTTGTAAAATAAATATTTAAAATAGACCAGAAATTTTTGATACCCCTATATACATTTAAGGAAGCAATACATTTTTTTAGTAAAGTTTATTTCCCTGGCTTTAAAGTCAGCACTAGAGTTCACTCTGAAAAGCAATGTACAGGGTGTTGAAATTTTTTTTATTATAGCATGCATATTTAAATATCTCAAAAACCAAAGCTTTTAAACATATTAAACCCTTATAATAAATGCCTTATTTTATGTCCAAGAATCCAAAACTAAAATAAAATACCGGATGTTCCATAAGAAAAAATATAGCTTTGCTATGGATCTTAGTTCTGACGCACCCTGTACATTTGAAAATAATTTTAAATTATGCACATTGCCTCTTTACATATACCCATAAAAAATTATGTTTCTACCTCTTTCCGTTTTCGTATAATCAACCGAGGCGAATGAGGTGCGCCACCCTGTATAGTTCATGCCGCCGCGCCGTTATGTCGATCGCATTAAAATAATATTGAAATCGGGGTTTTGTCTGGGGGGAAATATTTAGGTATTTCAGCTAGTGCAGTTATTGAGACTATAAAACACTCAGGTACGAGGTTTGTGCGATGTAACGCTGTTTCGGGTAGTAAAAAATAAGTGAAAAAGAATTCGAACTAGGCGTCTTGTGTTGTGACAATTTCAAATGTCAATAAAATTGCCTAAAAAAATGTTCGCGTAAAGGAGAGCGTAATAAGGGCGTTGTTGGGTGCAATAACATTCAATAACTCAACTTTCCCGGATATTCAACTCTCCCGAAACAACATTTTATAACTTCATAATTTCTTACACCGATTTGATCAATAGTCAATAGCAAAAATGGATTCAAGCAGTTCGACGAAACAAGTAAATAAACAAAGTGCTCGTTACATAATCAAAAAATTAAATAGACATATACTGAGAGAATGAAATATAATTTGCAATATTAATGGTATACTTTTTTAATCAACTTGATTAAATGTTTTATGAACATCTTCTAAAATTATAATTATGTACCTTTAAAATATTTCGTTATAGCCGAAATAACTCCAATTATGCCCCACTAGCAAAACCGGTAATTATAACTATACTCGCTACCGTAGTTGAACTCATCTAAAAATTTTTTTTAACTGGAATAATAAATTATAATGCAAGTTAGACCTTCTGAAGATATCAAAATATTTACCTTTTTATTTTTTTTGTTTAGAATTTCCACAAATTATACTTTCCAACACTTTTAGAATAATTATACAGGGTGTCCCAGAAATAAGTGCAAATATTTTAACTGGTAGTATAGTTCAACCCCAGAAACACGCCTATGGGTTTTTTTTTGTGAAAAAAAAAATGTTGAAAATTTAAAATTTTTCTTGATATTTTCCGGGAAATTTGAAAAAACTTTTTAGTGCCACTTGTTTATTCACCTGAGATTTCCCTACGGTGTAATCTAAACCTTGCAGTGTTGCAACCTCCTATGTTATACACATTCTACATAGTTCGGCGGAACATAGTTCTACATTTATAAATTCATAGACAAATTTCTACTCAAAAAATTAGGAATGTTAAATTTAATCTTTTATCAGTGCTCATTATTAATAATTATAGAAAAAAAAACACATTAATTATTTTTAGTACTTACCCTTTCAATGAAAAGTTAACAAAAACCACCGAAAATTAACTAAAACATTACGTTTATGACGTTTACGAAAATCTTTGTTATGCTGCAAAATAACTTTATTTTGGAATAAATTTAATAAAATGATTCATATTATTCACAATCAGGTCACAAAAAGAAATTCCTAAAATGTTTATCGTAATTTAGAATTCAATTCAAGAAATTTAGAAAACAGCCCAACGAATAATCAATTCATTTTTAATTTGTTTGTTTTCTTTCATGTTTCTCTGTTTTATTTGAACCACCGTTTTACAAAACACCTTGAAAAGCGCACATTACTTTGAATACCTTTCTGAATGAATAAATGTTGAGAATTATTGTCTCTTATCGCCACTTTACGAACTACTTTCAATCTAAGAAAATACATGTTTCACTCAACAATTATTGACAACGTATTTTGTTTTTTCGCTATTTTTTCGATGTATTTCGACAATTCCATCGACAGCCTAACCGTCAGCCAAGAACTGCCACGTGTGAACTGGTCCTTTGAGTTTGAGTCGCCGCGCCGTCGTGGCGGGCTTGCGTCAGACGACGATGTTAAGCAACGTTGTCGTAGTTACAATTTCAAATTCAAGACATTCGAAGCAATCAAATTCGTATTAAATTTTAAAAATAAAACAGAGAAACATGAAAGGAAATAAACAAAACAAAAATGAATTGATTATTCGTCGGGCTGTTTTCGATGTATTGAATTCTGAATTACGATAAACATTTTAGAAATTTCTTTTTTGTGATCTTATCAATAACCAATTCATTTGTGTTTTGTTTGTTTCCTTTCATGTTTTTCTGTTTTATTTTTAAAATTTAATAAGAATTTGATTGCTTCGAGTGTGTTGAATTTGAAATTGTTGAAACTACGGCAACCTCGCATGACGCAAGATCGACACGGCGGCGCGACAAAGGAGCAGTTACCAGTGATGCGCCGCTCTCTTGGCCGACGGTTCAATATTACCTATAAATTGAATATATTTTAGTTCATTTCAGCATACATAATTATATATATGCTAATATTTTGACGTTGTTCTTATTGTATTAATGTATATTTATCTAATTAACTGATCTCCTTCATTCTGCCTATTATAAAAGGTAAAGTATTTCCTAAAAATAACGTCCGCTTAGGGCAAGCTGGCAACGCTTACAAAATTCATCATGGCATCACGGATTCAACCAATCTGATTGGTCGAGATTCTCGCACGTCTTGCCGCCATTACCGCCAACTTTATGCCCCTCTCTAGGAATAGTAGAAACAGCCACTACTACTGAAAAATCCAGTGGCGGTGTATTATATTGTGTTTTATGCTTTTAACTTGATTTCTGCTTGTTGTAATTAGTACACACGTTTTAACAAATATTACTATATTTGGCAAATGACTAAACAAAATGTAGGTACATTTAAAGTAAAATAATATTATAAACTTTACTGGAAAATATTATAAAAATTCCTGATATATTTTTATGAAACACCGCACGCTTTTGGATATTTTATGAATGAAATCGGTCATGATTTCACAAAATTGCGATCCCCTTACCGTTGCCCCGTTGTTTCAGATCCGTTTGTCAGACTGTAGTTGGCGATATCTGCCGGCGGTTTGGTTTGGAATAAGTTAAATAACTCGGTTATTTTCAATTTATTTTAAAAATGGTAAAGAGAAAATATGTTTATTTTGACCAGATCTACCACCCCTTAAAATCTGCACTCATTTCTGGGACACCCTGTATACTAATTTTTTCGTTTACTCGCCATTTAAACCCATGTATTTGTATGTGTTCGTTATTTACGATATTCTCGGGCGGTGGCAGCACCGGCGGAGAATGCACCAAGCCTATATGAACTATATATTGATCACGATAATTATGAAAAAAATCGTGTCTCCTTGTCTATTATGCACGAATAGAAAAAAAGACAGGCATCATCTTAGAGCATTAACAATTCAGGAAATACGTAAACACCTGTCAAAGATTGAAAAACAAACTGTACTGTTTTAATCCTACATAATGGTTCCTTACCTTATTCCTTTGAATATACACTGGTCTATTAAAAGAAATTTCAATGAGGGAGGTGTAGTTCACTCGACTGGTGAAGTGGGTGTAGGTTAGACGACTTCCTTCGGCGTCCAGAAGATGAGCGTAGAGAAGTTCTGGATAAACCGTCTGCATTTGCCGTTCTTCGTCCATCATATGAATCTGAGCAGGGACCTGTAACGATTTTTTATTTAATAGTATCTTTTTAATCATATTTTTAATTGTTCTTTTCATTAATGAATTTCTAGCTAGTATATGATCCAGTGGCGGCTCGTCAGGGTAGGCAAGGTAGGCGGCGCCTACCCTAAAATTTTGGTTAAATTTAAGCGGTTTATTACCTTACATTATTTACTATTAATGTTGCCAATACATAAAAATACTGTTAATACACGGAAGTGTGTTATAATAATCAATATTATTTTAATATTTGTCGTCTTGTATATTAAAATATTCACTACCGCTGGCGTCCGCTGCGTTAGAAACCTAAAAAAAATAATTTTGACCGTTGGAACAAACGCCATAGTTCGGCGATTTCTACATCGCCTACTATCAGAGTCGATGCACGACATACGGCAGTCTTCTGTCTCTGTCTAACTCATCGAGCGGTAGCGACGCGACGTAAGTCGGAGTTGTATCGTATTAAGGCAGGGCTTAGGCGAAATCTCCGGTCGCCTCCGCATGAAGTCGTGGAGGCTCGGTAGGCTTAGTAGTTAAGGGGATATTCCGGATATTTTATAAGGGGAAATATCACATTTCGTTTAGAGGGTATTTCATATGATTCATTTAAAACTTTTATATGAAAATTCAAAAAAAAAACCGTTTAAAACAAATTGGAAACGTTATTAAAAATGATATAACCGGTTGTATTTTTCAGAACACGCCACAGAAATAAAAGAATCCGAAAAGAGCGCGTTATTCGGTGCAAGAAGACGATACAACATATATTACAGAAAAGTCTCAGTGTGCTAATTCAATTCGAGATGTTAATAAATGTTATTTTATGAAATCTGAGATAACATTGTTATACATTTAGAAAAAATAAGGTTTGCAGATAGGTACTGGTATGTACCAATTATTTTTATTTATCCTAATAAATCCGAAATTTAAAAAATCCTACAAAAAATTTCCAACACAGAAAAAAATATTGTTCATAATATTAATGAACATTGATTATTAACTGTTGTTTCATTGGGACAATGATTTTTTTCATTAATATAATGATTTGTTAATCATAGATCGATGTCCGATTTATTAATACTATGAATCTAATTTCATCAATATAATGAAAATCTGGTTATTAAATTAATGTAAGATTTTCATTAATGTAATGAACGCGTTCATTGTCCCAATGAACGCTTTCATTATTTTAGTGCTGCAACTTTAATAAACACATATTCATTATATTAATGTACAAAATCATTGATTAATGAGTTGTACATTGTGACAATGAACAATGTTATTAATACAACGAACACACTACATTATATTAATGCGGTTATTAATATCATGAATAAAATATTAGGGCTTAAATGTCCGCCATGTTGATCCGTTACTTTGGCACTTTAATAACGTCTGTGTGGTTGAGTTATTCAGTGAGGCTTTAGTTTCATTAGAACGGTAAGTGTTCTCTTCAATATTTTAAATATTCTAAATAAAAGTCCTATCGTATTGTAGTTAATTTGTTGTGTTGTCAAATCAAATTCCGCTGTGTGAGATCTTTGGTGTGGGTATTCATTAAAACAGCGGTTTCCAAATATGTTTCAGAAGATAAAAACAAAAAGAAGAAAAACATAGTAACAAGTAGAGGCATGGAACTGATTATGCTAAATTCGAATGTTCTTTTAATATTAGGCATTTTAATTATTTTGATATACGTCTTTTAGAACCGGAAGAAGATGTTGAGACCTGCCTTCAAGCCCTCAAATTCGACAATTTAACATCGGGTCCACTTGATGCGACTTGGAAAGCCTGTTACAAATTCGTCTAGACGTTATCAAGTCTAAGGATACAGCTAATATAATGAAGAAATGGTCTTTTTATAGAAATCCCTCAGGATATCGACTGGTAAATTAATTTTCTTATTATAATTTACCCTAAATATAATAATAACATTACTATTCTCTTCGAAATTAATTTTCTTATTATAATTTACCCTAAATTTAATAATAACATTACTATTCTCTTCGTCGATTCGATTTTTTTAATTTTTAATTTGTATATGCTATATCGAGTTTAATAAAATATTATTAGGTTATTGCACTTGTTTTTTATTAATAATTCCTAATGGAAAAATTTACTGTGCTCGTAAGTAAGTCGGCACTATTAGTAATTTTGTTACCTTTGTAGCTAAGGGCTTGTTCAAATGGAAATCTATTTATAGTAGAATTATTTCAGGGAGTTGGCTGGGAAATGACTATCAATGACATTTCATATCAATGACAGCGATCTTCATAATCGATTATACGGTGTAACAAGAGTTACTAATAGTGTCCACTTTTAAATGTATAACTAAATAGTTTATGAAATTATTTCATTGTATTAATGAAATCTGTTCATTGTACCAATGAATGTGTTCTTCAAATTAATGAACACTGTTTACTGATTTAATGAACTTAAAGTTCATAGAGTTAATGAATTACTTTTCATTCTGCCAATGAAATCGTTCATCGGCTCAAAATTAATGATTTAATTCATTACATTAATGAACGTTTTCATTGTATTTATGTCGACTTTTGGTTCAGTGAACGCATTTAATATCTGATTAACAAACTTGTTATATTGATACATTTCCAACGCATTTAATATTGATTTAACAAACAAAAAATGTTATTGACCAACATAAATTAATGAATAAATTGTAGGTATTAATAATAGATATGATAATTTCGATTATAAAATAATAATTTAAGGAGAATAATCCTGGAAATATATTTCCAGAGGCTTTCAAATTGTTTGTTTTGATTGTTACTACACCATTGACAAGTACTTGGGTTGAGAGACATTTTTCATGTTCGAAATGCATTAAAATTTATAGTAGAGATTCCATGAAAAATAAACGTAATTGTCGGAGACTACGGCCAGAGAATTGTATTAGCCACAAATAAAGTTTCTATACCATCTCATATAGGGCACCAAAACTGGAAGTATCTATAAAATAACATTACAGGATAGGTAAACAATAAATTTTAGTACTGCAGAGAGATTATCTCAAAAGATACTGGTTAAAAAAAAGATTAAACTTAATTAACCAACTTAAGGTATAAAATTCAGTTAGTGTTATTATTAATAAAATATATTGTTTTATGTATGTTGTCTTTTATTTTTTATTGAATCCTTTGCAATATTTTTTTTATTTGTACATAAGTTATATTGATATATGTAATAATCAATGCAGGAAGTTGCTTGAGCTTGAAAGTAAGAAATCTTTTTCACATTTTTTTTTTGGTATGTGGATGTGGTGTTTTGTATAAAATACACCCCTTGCTTGTTTAGTATTAACACATACCATATTTTTTTTAAATAAAATAACTCGATTAGAGTTTTCATTTTTTATACAAGTTTTTTTCATAATACTGTATGATCGAATAAAAACGGCGTCAGCGATGGCTATGAAATGAAAATCGCTGTCATTTTATATTTAAAATTATAATATGGAAAATGTCATCGATTTCATGGCCATCGCTGACGCCGTTTTTATTCGATCATACGGTATTTTGTAGTAATCACTTGTCACTCAAATTTTAAATATATTAATTTTCCGCTATGCATTCCAATAATTGTACCAACTTATTTCTTTGTAAAATAAAATAAACTACTTTGAAACTAAAATGACAGACACATCTATCATTGTCAAGGATTTTGTCGTTGGACAGACTATAGACTGCAAGACAACGACTGAGGGAATCTTGGTCTTGAATTTGCTCACCACTACTTACCTGTATTCCAAAAACGCACACGTTTTTGTCGCACGTGAAGGTGACAGCGCAGTCGAGCACACTAGTGTTCATGCATTCCGTCGTCCTCAACAGTGTACGGTTGCATATCATCCGTTTCGAACTGTCGTTTGTAGAATCTGATGCCAACGAACTGAATTTGATCATGGACGTTCTAGATGTGTCCATTTGAGCTGGTCCTGCCTGAAGAGTTTTATAAATATTAAAGGTGTGTATTATATTAATGTGCAGTAACACATTTTATAAAAAAATATATTAGAACATTAACCACAAACATCTTAAAATTACCTAAAACATTCCAGTCCTATTCTGCTAGTTATAATATATGCAAAATAAACCCTTAAAGGTTAAAATCTTCTTCAAATTCTCCCTCTTGCTGCTGAAAGTTATCAAAACCCCCAATCTTATCCATCCAACTATTAACTTTATCATAATACGGTTCTTCCGATGCCTCATTATTCAAATCATCCCTCTCATCACCGGAACTATCACTATCCTCCCAAATATCGAGAAATCCCCTTGCCAAGTCACTTTTAATATTTTTCTTTGTGTATACATGATTGAATTTATCCAAAAACCTCTCTAAATTTTTACTGTCATTGTCATCTTTTTTTTCAGTTTTCGTATCTGGTCTGTTGAACAGAAAAAACATATCGCTTTGATCAGCAAAATTTGTAATGTACAATGTTGGTTGTTCATGTGAATCTTTCTGTTTGTTTGTCCATGCTGCCAAAATACTGCAAGGTTCTTCATTGTTACTAAACTCATAACTTATTTCTTGTCGATATACACATCCCAGCGAAGTAACAAAGTAAATATATACCCTATCGTTTATATTTAAAAGTTTTAATCCAACTACAGCAGTTGTGACTGTCTGTTTTAAATTATCTATTAACAGTAAGTCAGGATTTCTCAGATATGTTTCTCGTAATGTAATACCTACTCCGGGAACTTGATAGGGTAGGCTAAACAAGGATCTACCAGCAAATAGAATTTTACCATCTAAAAAAGGACTTGCTAAACATAGATACGTATTTGTGTCATCTTCCAACAAATCCACTAGCATAGGACTTTTTTCCATGGTATGAGAAAATAACGATTTCTTTTCCAAGTCTTTTAAATCCACTTTAATTACATAATGTTGGGATACAAGAAACAAAGTTTCATTCAGAACTTTAAAGCTATATAAAGGATTGCATTTTAACAATTCAGGATCATACATCATCAGAACAGAATTTTTCTTGTAATTTATGATTTGAACTGTAAAACTGTCCATCAGTATTATTTGATCCTTTTTAAAAAATCGAAATTCTTTATATTCTTTCGTCAAATCTAAAAGATCTAACTTGAAAACTGTTTTCTTCGATTTAACATGCTTACAATAGATTTTCCGTTTTTCTAGAAAGCCAATATGTTTATTGTTATATTCGTTGATTTTTGTATCAATAAAAGCACAATTTGATACATACTGGAAAGCAGTACTGAACTCTTCAACACTAGTAATTTTAATTAAAGTTACCTTGTATTTTTCCTTAATAAGTAATAAAGAAGACTTCCCTGTATAACACTTCAAAGAGTATACGTTAGATTCTGGAGAAAAAGGGAATAAAAATGTATCAAAAGGATTCTCTGCATCGACGAGAAGTATTTTTCTATCACTAACTACATAAAAAATTACATAGATTTTTCCATCGATTTCTACAATATCTAAAAGACCTTTATAATAAACATTTGAGTCGTTTACCCAATCGGGATCTGGGTCTTTACAATTGTAGAGTTCTAGCAAAGCTAGTGGCATAGTGACATAATTGCTACCTCCTGAAGAATACTCTTCGACATCATTTCTAGATGTTCTCAATCGTCCAATTCTAAGTTTCTCCAGGTATACTTTTTTCTTGGTTAATATATCTGATAAAGGATCTTTATTAGTGGCAGAAATAACGTTATTTCCGATAGGATATGGCAGACCAACGTGTACCGGTTTCTGGCTTATTTTTACACCGTCAAACAAATAATCCTCCGAGAAATCGACGAGAAGATTATGCGGTTCACTCTCAATTTCTGATTTGTGATAATTATTCGTGCTCAGAAGCATTTTGTACGGCTTAATATTATTTAAATTAAAGTGCGAAAAAATAGAACTGGAGTGAAAAAGTGAGGCTATGACGGACGACGAACTATCATCATATATCATATCATCATCCACAGATGAATAAACAAAACAAAAAACAAAAATGATTTAAATTTTTAGTAGGGATGGGAATTTTTATTAATATATCTACATATCGATTTTAATCAATATATGATAAAAAAAAATGTCTTCAGCGATGGTTACAAAATGAAGATTGCTGTCATTTTAAAATTATATGGGGTATGCCTTTGAATAAGAAGACTAAGGAAGGAGCATAATGCTATCCATGCAGTGCCTTCTATTAAAAGATCAGCCTCCGGGCGAGATTTATGACGTCACGCTAGTTAGATATAACGGATTAATAAATATGTTGTAGAATACATGGAAAACATAATTATTCCTCAGATTTTTGGTTTGTATTTTAAAAATGATATAGTTTAAATGAAATATACATAATATACAGTTAATAACTACAACATATATACCTATTTATAGTAATAAATACTTTGGCAAATAAACTATGAACCATACAAATGCAGCAAATGTTTTACAATGTACAAATAATGTATAGGTACATAAGATAATGGGTAAAATGTAAATATATTTTAAATTTTGGGGTTTGAAAATCGATCTAATTTAACAAAAACATTTAATATCTACTAATAGTGATGTATTATTATTTGCATTCACAAAATTTATATGTATATTTTGCAAGTATCAATGTTCGAAAAATTATATTTACAAATAATACAATATTATCTAAAAAGGCGTCAGCGATGGCTATGAACTGAAGATCGCTGGCATTTTATATGTTAAATTATTCTAAAATTTTTGATTTTCTTGGGATTTTAGGTTCGGGAAAAACGCTGATTAAGTTTTCATTTGGGTTTTCATTATTTTTATTTGGTTTAAAAAAACGTTTCGGCTAACTATAGCCTTCACAGTGTTGTGTCATATGAGAAAAATAGTGTCGAATATAATCCAAAAATTACATATACAATATAATTCACACCTCATAATGTTTACTGCAATTAATAAACTAATATAAACTTATCAAAAGATGACCACATATTTTTTTAAAATTATTATTCTTAACACTAAAATTATCTACATTGACTATGGAGTACGCAGTAAACATTATGTGCGTGGTGTGAATATTTTATATGCAATTTTTGGATTATATTCGACACTATTTTTTTCATATGACACAACACTGATGGAGGCTATAATGTTAGCCGAACCGTTTTTTTTAAATCAAATAAAATAATGAAAAACCAAACAAAAAATCAATCAGCGTTTTTCCCGAACCTAAATTCCAAGAAAATCAAAAAATTTAGAATATTTAGAATCAAGGTTCAAAATTATATCAAATTTTCCAAGATTGTAAAATTCTAGTTAATTATTTTATGTGTACAGTTATTTAGGGAATGTCATCGATGTTCATTTCCAAGCCAACTAGACGCCGATTTTTTTCCATGATACGGTATAATTCTTACGTAAAATGTACATAACATTAGACCAATTACTACAAGAAAGACCAATTACTTCTTACAAAGAAATATGGATTTCTTAGTATTTTTAGTAACACCTTTATTCTTAAAACTTAATTTTGTATTATGCAAATATACCAATTTTATTGTTATTTTATTCATATTGTATTCAGCCATCACTTAAATATTTGATATTAATTTGGTATTATAAATAATCAATACTATTCATTAAAAATTACTGAACAAATATTGTTATGCTTAACATACATTATATATTATCAAACAAAAACACATTATTCTTTTAAACTGTATCAGCCTTGTCTTTACAAAAATCTTTTTTAAAATTTGAACTCAAAATAATAATCTTTTTCATGATCTCTAATACACATATTCTTTATTTTTCCCTAGTTCATAATACCTACTTACGTGTTTGAATCTATCGAAGCTAAACCAGCAACACTTGGAGTGGAGATTCCACAATATGAATAAAATAAACATAATTGTCCAGTTTTCATTAATACCATCATGGGAGAAAATTATTTTTAAATTTATTAAAGATATTTTCAATAAAATTCTCTTGATTTATAACTCGTACCACTTTTCTTTGCTCTTCCGGACACTTTAGGCTGCCTAGTATAATAACTATCCTTTCCACCAGGAACACAACAAAGATGAGGCATAGCACCAATAACACACTCCACTTAAGCTTTATTGATGAATTGTTAGAGTCTTAAAAACACACACAAAAATCACGATAAGTAAAAAATGTATGGGCACTTTTAGGTTAAATCACTTGCACAACGTGTAATTTTTAAAATTTCTATTTTTTATGCGAAACCGAGAGTGACCATATATCTGGTAGTAGTTTATGTCACTTCAACACCAAAATAATTAGTTTTTTGCACTACAATAATAAATAATACCAAAAATCAAAGAGTTAAAACCAAAAATCAACCGACAAAATATGAAACAGAATCTAACCCAATATCTAAGTATGTACAGCTGATGAAGTAAACAAAAGTCCGCCCGTAGGCTGATCTTTTAATAGAAGGCACTGATCCATGTATTTATGCATGGTGGGCGGAAAAGCCACCATAAAAGCTCTCTAGGGTGGGGATCCTTGACAGTTCTGTTTGACGATTCATTTGACACATTTGAATTTGATTTGAAATTTTGTGGATTTGTCAGTCTTTACGGAGCTTATTTTATGTTATTTATTATTTATTCTACTACTGATAGTTGTATAAAGGTAGTAAATCTAGATGGAAATTGTGGCAGAACTTAAATTAACAGTGACACTATCGCGATTTATCGAAAAAGACTCTAAAATAGTTGGTTGCGTAGCGTGCGGTAGATCTCGGCAAAAATTGAGTGAAATAATGGAACAACTTTTCGCTAGTAAGTGACTATATAATATACGTACGTGTAGTAAACCGATGAAATTCACTTAAATTAACTAAATTATATATTTTTCTTGCTTTTTAGCTTTTATTTATTACTTGTCAAAGATTAGATGTCAAAGAATTTAGATACGTTAATTTGACTTACCTGCTTCAGTAGCGTATCGGATGTTTGTGTTAATAAATACTTATTATAACTTATCTATTTTTATTAGAATTATATATTTTTATAACAATTTTAATAACTACCAACATTTATTCACAACGTAAAATAAAACAAAAAATTATTGAGTCTATCCCACGTCTACCCTACATCATAGTTTTATATTTTTTAAATAAAATTAGAACGATACTGATAAACCGGAATTTAAGTCGGCCATATTTGAGGCCCATCGCGGTGTACCTAAGATTTTTGATATGCTCCTTCCTTAGTCTTCTTATTCAAAGGGGTATGCAAAGGGTGTATGTCATCGATGTTCATTTCCAAGCCAACTGGACGCAATTTTTTTCGGTCATAGTCACGGGGTATTATGAATTATTTATTATATGATTATTAAATCAGAATTAAAATATATTAAAAATATTAAATTGGTATTAAGAAGTCTTGGTATACCGAAGTCTTTAATAAATAGTATATATAAATTGGATTGCTAATTTAATATTACTGATAAAATAATCAATCCAATTATGCCAGTGCCATAAAGCGTTGAAAAACAAATGAAAGAACTGTATGTTTCTTTTTCTAGTCCCTTATTGTCCCACCAAATTATCGCCAAGTTACGATTTTTGTAGGTAGTCCAAGTTACGATTTTTGTTTTTATGAAAGGCAAATTGTGCATGTGGTTAGTTCAAATGAACGAATCGTAGGAGTCGATTCATTCAATATGAGGAATTGAATCGTATAATTCGATTAACTAAAAAGAATCGTAATGCACTACTGTCGATAGAGAAACATATCGATATTTTTTAAATATATCGATATATTATTACCATCCCTAAGCGACTATCATATCTTTTTATTATTTAGATTAATATATGATATTTATATATGGAAGAACTGCACCTTTCCAGATTTTCTTTAAAATTTAAAAACAATTTTAAACATATTCGCATACTAATATATATTACATGAGGTGTGAGACTTAGTAGATTAGTAGTCGTTTATGACCAAAAATGGTTTTAATTAGTATTGTTATGAGCACACACTATATCAATACAGCCAAACTTACCATAACAAAACTAGGAGAATGCTAGAAAAACAAAAAATATATCAGTTACAATATATTTATTGTCTTTGCCATATTTCAACTGTTGGTGCTCAATACTGACCAATACTATACCAATATCAAAAAAGAAATACTTACATAATATGGGTCGGGAGTCTTTTTTCGTGTCACTCTTGATGTGGAGAAACCGTCAGGCATAGGAGTGCCTGCACTCGTCGAGCAGATATTCATTAATATCGCAAATTTCTCAGTTTCTGACAATAGTGTGGACTTCCCAGGGCTTTCGGCAAATTGTTGGGGGCTCAAAGTGAGAAATCTGACTTTTTTAATGGCGTCACGAATGCATGGTTGACCTGGACTGTTGAAACAATCTCCAGAAGCATGGGCTAAAAAAGGTGTAACAACTTGTTACTACACTTTAATTGATTTTCCTATACAAACCTAAGTCTAAATATTATAGAAATCTTCTTAATTTATAGCATTTTTTAGTGTATTTCTTAAACATAGTATTAGTTGTTTTTTTCCCATTACCCATATATACGACACAACAAAAAAATTACCTAACCCCTCATCTAGTCTAGGTACCTTCGCACCTGTTCCTTGATTATGTCTTGCAGCGTATCGACTGATTGCTGCAAATAGTTCCAATTCTGAGTTAATATTCAGTTCATCCTGATCAAAAACGGTCAATACAGTGCTGAGTTCAACATCTTCAAAGCTTGGTTCAGTTAATACTTCTTGCGTTTGATCACAAATAATCTAAATAAAGATAAAAGTTACCTACTTATTACTAAAAAACATTATCAATAAGGTACTTACCCTGATACATTTAGCCATTAGCTGTGGTTCTTCAAATAACTTTGCAAATTCATATGCTCTACAAGCGTTTTTTGGGTAAAGATCAGACCACAAATATGTAGTACATTCCTCAACCAAATTAGGTAACATATATTTCTTTGCTCCATAACATAATTCACAAGCCTGATCAAACGATGTTAAATTAATCTTATCCGTGTAAATATACCTGAAAACATAAAAATACAGTCAAAGATCTTCATATATATAAATTTTTTGTTATTGTACTCTAATAATGCCTTGAATGCTTCAGGTTGGACATCTAAAATTGCTATGGGGTCTTTTTCGGCCATGCCACCGAAAAACATGGCTTCAAAAACGGGGCTCGACATGGCCAGGAATAGTTTATGCCCTTCGAGAACCTGCTGGTTCGGTTCAGAACCGACAATGAATCTACAGTCGCTCCACATACCAGTTTCAAGAAGGTATTGTCCACGCTCCTTTACCAGTTTTCTGGTGGTTTGCCAATCACACGGAGGTGGCGGAGCACTCATCCCTAAAACGTATGCAGTTTATTTCTCTTTCCTACTACCACATAAAAAACTTATGTGTAGGTGTTTCATTGAATGATATACATAAAAAACTATTTAGATATAAACAAATTGCAGTTTGGAGTATTATTACTACATCACTACGTACTTTTGTCGGTCCTGATTCTGTACAGTTATTAAAATTATTTTTAATCTTTGTTTTGATATTTATTTTTGGATATTTTTATCTTGGCATTGACATTGACGTAAGATTGAGATCATCGTTTTAAAAAATCATTATAATGAAATAATCTGTGGTCCAGAATAGATATTTTTATATATGATATTTATACATTTTATTTTAGTTTAAAGGGTTTAGTTCAACGAGTTTAGCTAAATATTTTACAGTTATTTATAGATCAGTGTTCATTTTTGCTAATTTAAAAATTAGTTCTTTCAAACTAATCATAATTTAAGATATGGTTTAATTTTAAATTTCTCAAATCATATACAAATATTTTGAAAGATCTTGGATTAAAACAAAATATTTCAGTTAAAAGTCGGTTATGTCATGTCACATTTTGACTTTTTGATGATGATTAATAAAATAATATGGCTGTAAATCTCTCTTACATTATTTAAATAAAATGTTTTTACCATGTATTTCTAACATTTAGACGTTAGGCCGGTTCAGATATTAGTTTAAATGGAAATTTGTACGTTCAGTTTTAGTTAAATTAAGACGTTATGTGCTTGTAAGTCCGTTTCGCCATTATATTGCAACAAAGAAGTTCAAAGGGAGATACTAACAGAAAATGTACGTTCCTTTAAAACTAATCTGATTCTGGAAGTTCGTGAGACTATTTCCAGCTTACTAATTTTCTGTTTTAACCTCTTATATTCGCTATAACTTGTGGAAGTGTAGTCACTTATCATCTGTCTTTTCTTTCAGAGGTTTAATGAGAAAATAACAATATTTTGGTGAGTACTGAAGTTTATATCGCTAAAAATGGACGGAGTTGTGGACGAAGATCGCCGAAGGAGGCTCAACCAGCTCGAGAACAGAATAAAAGACTCACAGGGCAAAGGCAACATCGATTCCCTTCTAGACACCGTTCAAGCTCTCTACACCGATTGTGATCATCCTGCCATTAAGAAACTGAAAAATATTGAAGTATATTTACATAGATGTAAGCGACTATATATGATAAGTTTATTTTTAATGTAACTATTAATTCCTACTTATATTTTGATTACTAAAGAGATAATTGGTATTTACTTAATGCAATTTATAAATCAAACTTAATATTTGAACATATCTTAATCAAAAATAGGTGTGTTTTCTAAGATTACTGATATAAGTTTATTGAAAATTCATGTTTATTTTCAGATGATGAAATAGCGAGTGATATAATTAAGCTTCGAATGAAGACAGACGATTTTGAGCATATTAAAGTAATAGGAAGGGGTGCTTTCGGTAAAGTACAGTTAGTTCGCCATAAATATACCAGACAGGTATACGCCATGAAAAGATTGAGCAAAGCTGATCTTATAAAACGTTCCGATTCGGCTTTCTTCTGGGAAGAGCGACATATAATGGCTCACGCTAAGTCTGAGTGGATTGTGCAGCTTCATTTTGCCTTTCAAGACGCTAAACATCTATATATGGTTATGGATTATATGCCAGGGGGTGATATTGTTAATTTAATGTCGAATTATGAGATACCGGAGACGTGGGCCAAGTTTTACACTATGGAGGTACAGAATTTTAATATATAATTGTATTTTTTAACACAAAATCTAATTTTTTAGGTTGTGTTAGCTCTTGATGTAATACATTCGATGGGATTTGTTCATAGAGATGTTAAGCCTGATAACATGCTTTTAGACAAGCATGGCCATTTAAAATTGGCTGATTTTGGTACTTGTATGAGAATGGATTCTGATGGTCTTGTCAGGTCGAATAATGTTGTTGGCACGCCTGATTATATATCGCCAGAAGTGTTACAGAGCCATGGAAAAGGTAATAATCATAATAATTTAAATATTTACATGCTAGAAGGGTAGATAAAAAGTGCTTTGTTCGAATTTGTTTATTATTTAGAAAATATTTAAAAAGTGACTAATGTCAGTTAAGATTCAAAATTAGGCTGAAATGAATAGGAATTTTAGTGTTTAGATAAAATAGTTTTAAAGGTGAATGAATTTAATCTCAGTATTAAAATCATAATAAAATACACATGAGATAATCTGCTTAAAAAAGACTTGATTGTTCTTTCTAATTTTTTGTTTTGGGTTATTTAAAGTATTTTTTAAGGAATTTATATTTTTAAAATGCCTTTCATATTTTTTGTTTGAAATATGAAAATAAAAATATACAATGCTTTTCATATAACTGGTTGTTTAAAAAAAAGTTTTTGTATATTTAATTTTTATTTGAATGTTAAAGTTAAGGTTATTTCTGGCTATTCTTTCTTAAAATATTTTTCAGTGTTTGGTACTTCTTGTTTATCCGTAAGTGACTGGTCAATTTGCATATTTTAAATTGAACACCCTACATACGTACATATTTTTTGATTTTCGAAATCCATATGAAATTCTAAACAGATTTTGTTTATAATGTTATACAGGGTGTTTCAAAAAACATGTGCCATCACTCGTAGGGAGCTTCCTCACATATGTAAAAAAAGAGTTATTTTTTATATCAACTTAGGTCCCATTCTGCATTGTTTTGTAGCTACAGGGGGTTAAGGTCTTTATTTTTTTTCCAGCTTACTAATTTTTTTTTCCTGTCTCACAATGTACCGTTTGTGTCCGGGAAGAGTTTATAGTTTCATAGTTGTCGATTTTTGAAAGAAATCAGTACATGTATATTATTTCGTATATTTTTCATTTTATTGATTTTATGCAAAGCACTGTTCATTAAAATGTTGTATCCTATGTTATAGGGCTTGTTTCTCTCTACAATTTCTTGTCTCACAATGTATCGTTTGTGTCGGGGAAGGGATCATAGTTTCATAGTTTCATAGTTGTCGATTTTCAAAAGGAATCAGTACACGTATATTATTTCGTATATTTTTCATTTTATTGATTTTATGGAAAGCACTATTCATTAAAATGTTGTATCCTATGTTATAGGGCTTGTTTCTCTCTACAGTTTCCTGTCTCACAAAGTATAGTTTGTGTCAGGGAAGGGATCACAGTTTCATAGTTGTCGATTTTCGATAGAAATCAGTACATGTATATTATTTCGCATATTTTTTATTTTATTGATTTTATGGAAAGCACTGCAATGGCCATCGCTTACGCCGTTTTTTCTCGATCATACGGTACATGCTCGCTTGTGCTCAAGAATGAAGATAAGTGGACATTCCCGCACAATGATCATTAACGTTCCTTTGTCATTAATGGGGACATTCTCTGTATTACAACACTAATTGCAACGTATAATGAAGGGGCGATCCCTCTTTATACATTTTACTATTTATTATTACTATTTCCCATTTTTTTTCCTCAGGAATATACGGCCGAGAGTGTGACTGGTGGTCGGTAGGCATCTTCGTCTACGAAATGCTGGTAGGCGAAACACCCTTCTACGCCGACAGCCTCCTGGGCACCTACAACAAAATCATGTACCACGAGAGCAACCTCATCTTCCCCGTCGAAATCGAGATCTCTAACGAGGCCAAATCCCTCATACAGGGTCTTCTGTGCGACCGGACCGTGCGCTTGGGTAGGAACAGCGTGGACGAGATCAAAAACAACCCGTTTTTCATCAATGGAGAGGGCTGGACATTTGATAATCTCAGAGATGCCGTGCCGCCTGTGGTGCCCGAGCTGGCTAGCGACGATGATACGAGGAATTTTGATGATTACGAGAAAGATGATACGCCAGAAGAAGTAAGTAGATTTATTTATTTTTTGTTTAATCAAATTTACAAGAATTTTTGGTACCTGTAAGGTATACAGGCCCGGCAATAGATCTCTAGGCATAGGAATTACATGCATTGGAATGAAACGCCTATAAAAAGTCTATGCTTAAACAGAGATGGACAACAACTTCCCCGTTTCCACTTCACTACGACTGTCTACTTAGACAAACTCCAATAAGATAACAAATTTTGGAAATTCCGCCACCTCCCATCCACTCATGATACCCATCCCCCTGCCCTTTATTTATCGCCATTATTTTATTGAGTGATCTATTATTACGACACATAGGAATGCTAATATTGGACTTAAATATTATATTTTATTTTGTTTCTGTACTTTGGATTTTTGTTGAAGATCTACCGAGAATTTTGTTCTCGTATGGAATTATAATCTAACAAACCCTGTTCGGCTACTTCTTATAAAGTTTTTTCGGCCTAATTCCTTTGCCACCGCCGCCGCCGACCGACGGTGTCGGGGCGACTGCTAGGAAGATCGTACAGTGTTGCCATTTCATAGAATTGCACTTGCTATTTTAGAAATGATTTCAAAGTTTTGCATGTTACTTTTCGTTTTAGAAAGAAATTATGTGCCTAGAGAAAACATTCTTAAAATTGTTTCGTACTTTATTTAATATTTCATTAAGCAGGCAAGATAATGGGATTAGAAGATTTAGGATTTGGGATAAGCCAATATAATTTCGATTTAATAGAATGGCAACAACGTCCTGTTTCTATTTTTTCGATTCTATTCTATTAGTAGGCGGTAGCCCCCACACAAGCGTCTTAAAGACCCGCCCGGCGCCCCCTCTTGCAGAGGCTCTCTCGTCGTATCACTTCTATGATCACTTCCCCTATACGATGGTAGGGAAAAGACACTATCCGTCTCTGTTGCACTGCAGTGTATTTTGCAGCCTTACCATCTTTTTTTATCGCATTGAAAACCTATTGCTAATGTTCCTTTGCCAGCAGTGTATATTATCTTTAGATCATATACAGGGTGTCCCAGGCTGAGCGTGCATTAGAAGTTTCTAGTGAACTACAATATCTAGATATTTTTGCATATGATTGTCTTACAACGTAATCTATCGATTAAAAATATTTTCAATATGGCGGCACTTCCGGAAATACCGGATGTTCACAGCAACTTTCTTATTTTAAATGGGTACACCCATTTTTTATTACATACTTAAATTATCTTTAAAATTTTATGAATATTGATGTTAAACACTCTATACCTGACATTAACCGTTTTTGAGAAAAAAAATATTTAAAATTTTTGGACGAAAAAAGCTGCCTGTCTAAAAAAATTATATAGCCTAGAAGTCAAATTTATTGATTACCACAGCCACTGTGACAAAGAGAAGACATGTAGCTATCTATTTCAAAAATTAAATTGTTCAAATGTCATATAATAATGGCGGTAGCTGTCATGGAATTGAACGACAAAAAAATTAACATAAATCATTTTTTTCAAATGGAAACCCACTTCTTTATTTCACTGGTGAAAAGGTTTGCCAATTCGTTATTTTTTGAGTATACATGTTCCTATACCTAAAATAAATCGTTTTTTATACCTGTTGATAATAAATAAAAATAAATAAATTTTATACCTTAAAGGTTGATTAATTAACTTTAATCTTAATTTTTTTAAATCAGTACCTTTTGACATTATTTTTCTGCAGTACCTCTGGCAGTACTAAAATTCATTATTTACCTATCGTGTGATGTCGATATTTTACAGCTACTCCAGTAGTATAGTCTATAAAATGAATAACTTTGAATTTTGACCGTTATTTTTTACCAATATGGCAAATATAAAATCCCTCTGTCAAAAAAGTTACTGATATTCTTTAAATTGAGTGCCTGAACGAATCAGATAGGTAACTCTTTTACTTTTTTTACTTTTTTTACTTTCGTGAAATAGAAAAGGAAAATAATAAAACAAGTGACAGTTCTTCCTCTTCTTGCAAAAATCAACCCGAAATGTCATAATTGCCAAAAGTAAAATGTCATCAGCGTATGACATTTCTAAATATCAAACCAATGCCGTCTCTAATAGAACAGCCTCGGAGCGAGATTTATGACGTCACGCTAGTTAGATACTAAGGATTAATAAATATGTTGTAAAATACATGGAAAACATAATTATTCCTCGTATTTTTGGTTTGTATTTTAAAAATGATATAGTTTACATGAAATATATATAATATACAGTTAATAAATACAATATATATACCTATTTATAGTAATAAATACTTTGGCAAATAAATTATAAACCATACAAATGCAGCAAATGTTTTACAATATACAAATAATGAATAGGTACGTAAGATAATGGGTAAAATGTAAAATATATTTTAAATTTTGGGGTTTGAAAATCGATCTAATTTAACAAAAAACATTGAATATCTATAAATAGTGATGTATTATTATTTGCATTCACAAAATTTATATGTATATTTTGCAAGTACCAATGTTCGAAAAATTATATTTGTAAATAATACAATATCATAGAAAAAAGGCGTCAGCGATGGCTATAAAATAAAGATCGCTGTCATTTTATATGTAAAATTATTCTAAAATTTTTGTTTTCTTGGGATTTAGGTTAGGATGGAGTACAATTTCAGCCATAGTCAATGTAGATGTTTTAGTGTTAAGAATAATAATTTTAAAAAATAAACAAAATATTAAAAATAAACAAAAACAATAAATAATAATGAATTAATATTATTAAAACATTTATTAACTGTATATTATGTATATTTCATGTAAACTATATCATTTTTAAAATACAAACCAAAAATACGAGGAATAATTATGTTTTTCATGTATTTTACAACATATTTATTAATCCGTAGTATCTAACTAGCGTGACGTCATAAATCTCGTTCCGAGGCTGTTCTATTAGAGACGGCGTGCATGGCCGCAAGTTGCTAACCTAATAAAAATAACACTAGAAAAGCGCGCGGGAACTGTCAAATTCAAAGTTATACGTTTCACAGACTATATATGTTTAGTACGATCCTTGTAGTATATATACGAGATGCACTTATCTACGACGAGATGGTATACAAACTTCATTGATGGTAACTTTATTTTTTGTGTATAAGACTTTCTGCCTGGGCAGCGAGTATTAACTATAAACTGTGCTCTGGGTCTACAGTTAATTTCCCCTCGATTTTTCCTCCACTTGACTTCAAAAGACACAAAACACACTTAATAACACGAATCAAAATACATCATCATCCAAAACGCAGTGTATTTGACATAATTTGACAAAAAAATTATAACCTATAATTTGGCAAGACTCCGTTTGTCGTTCATCGTTCCGTCAAACCAATAAAATTGAAATATGATCTGTCATTTTTGAAATAAACCAATAAAACTGGTTAAAAACAACAACAGACGACGCATGACGGATTTATATTTAAACCCATCCATAGTTAACTTAAAAAATATTAGAAACTTTGTTTAGTAAAATAAACAGATTGGTACGAGACGTCATCTGCTTTTCTTCTGTCATCGTTTGTCAAAATCTTAACTGAGGAAAAAACAGAGATATATGTTACAATGTCCTTTTCAGATATTTCCTGTTCCAAACACATTCGTCGGAAACCATCTACCCTTCATCGGATTCACCTACAACTCCGACTACCAACTCCTATCCACTCAAACGGTCGTTGACGGTGGCAAAACCACCTCTAACCACATCTACAATGACAAAGACACCACCGCTCAACTCGCCAAGCTCGAAGCTCAACTGGAACAAGAAAAGAACAACGTGGAGACTCTCGAGGCCAAGCAACGAATACTCATCGCTCAACTGGACACATTGGCTCAAAAAGAGGGCGATTTAAGACAAGAACTGTCACAGTACGAGAAAGAAGTCACTGTACTTAAGCACAATTGCAAAGAGATGCAGAGGAAGGCTGAGTGTGAGAGTGACTTGAGAAAGAATACCGAAAAATTGCTGGCGGATGCTAAACAAAAGTTTGAGGATGAACAGAACAGGAGGACCAAAGAAATGAACAACAACCAACAGCACAACGATAAAATTCACACGTTAGAAAAACAAATTAGTGAGATGCAGGAAAAACTGAAAGTTGAAACTGAAAATTGTCAGAGACTTCGAAAACAGATCAATGAACTCACCATGGCGAAGTCTAGTACTGAAATGAAAGTTACCGAGTTTCAAACTCTCTTGCAATCGGTTCAAAACCAAAAAGACTCTTTACAAAGCGAAGTAGTACAGTTACAAGAGCAATTGACGGACTCCAAGAATGCTCTAGCTCAAGTCACCGATCATCAAGCTATGCTGGAAAACAAACTATCTTCAGCAAACAAGGAGTTGGATAGTGTGAAGGAAAAGGAGGCTAAGACTTCGGCTGATAATCACCAACTTAACGAAAGGGTGTCGTTTTTGGAAAAAGAGAATGCTGGACTGAGTTCTGAACTGAGGACGGCTCAGACGATGTACAGGCAGGAGGTTGAAGCTCACGAGGAGACTGAGAAGAGCAGGATGATGAATAGGGAAGAGGCTAACATGGAAGTGGTAAAAGGTAAGTTTAGACTTTTTTTACTGGTTTAAATTCGTTTAAAATAGATGGTTTTAATTCTTCTGGTTATTTATTTCAGTTATTGGGCATCAGAAAATATACTTTATTAAATATAATAAATTAATCATTTCAAAGGACTAAGCCAAATGATTACTAATTATTATTCAAGGATTAACTATTTTTTGCAATTGATAAAATTGTTCTAAATGTTAGTTCTTGGTAAAAATGCATATGAGGATTCTAAAAGGTGCAATCTAATTTTTTAGCCGACCATACCAATAGGTATGATAATAACCGCTGAACCGATTTTAACCAAATTTGGCACAAAAATACTGTGGCACCCGAGAATCTGGCCATTAGTTTTTGGTGGTGGTGGGGGGTTAGTAAGGGGGTATAGGAGAGGGTTAAAAATTTAAAAAAATTGTAACTCCAAAAGTACAGTAGCTAGCGAAACGCGGTTTTCAAATTAAGATTAGGAATAATATTTGCAACAAAATTTGTAATAACATCAAAATCAGTCAAAGTCGCAGTTTTCGAGATATTAACATATTTTAGTATGGGCGGCTATACGTGCCTCCCGGCGCCAATTTTTTTAAGTAGGTACCTAGACATACAAAACTAGCTGTGAAAAGTGTCTTTTTTCTCTTTAATTTTTTTATGATATTTTAATCTAACTTGTTACCTGATTAAAATGTTTGTAGCAATCTTTTTAGGCACAAACTGAATGGTTAAAAATCACATATATAATTTTCAGCCAATTAATTACATGAATGACTATCTAACTATTTGTTTACTACACAAATTGAAAAAATCGTTATTATTGTTACGGATTCCGTGGGTCTACTGATTTATACTTAACGAATTTATTTTTTTCACTGTATACACAATTTACACAACTGATTAACTATGCAACTACTATTACTTAATTTTCTAGCACCTTCGGCAAATAGTTCACAATTTTTCTATTCAGAGCACTATCCTATAACTGACTCAACTGCCGAACGCTGCTTTTTATATATCCTAGCTACTGTTTCTGGAATGTTCTAAAATTATCTGTAATTTTCTATACCCTTCTGCCATCTACCAGTAAATTCTGCCGTCTGATTACCTTTTTTACTTCGCTAAGAGATGGCGCTTCAACATTGCCCTCAAATAGTCCTCAACCAGCAATACACGTTGCGGTTTAAATCGTTGCATCTCATCAACCTTGACATTATCATTGCACGCGTTTAAAGACGATTTTTTAATTAATTGAATTTTTAATTTTTCACGCAGATCTTATGGGAAGAATTATTACTGGTAATATACTTATTATTAATAGTATTATTTATAATTTGTTGATTATTTATTTTAATTTTACATGCTTTTTGTGCAAGATTAAGACCACTCTAGCTCATCGCTAATCATACCGTATTTTAGTAATATATTTCTTCTCAAATAATTACTTTGCCGTCTGTTATTTTTGTTTACTTCTATTTAAAAAAAATAAATATAAACTCAGATAAATAATCATTTTTACACAATATGATAATCTTAAGATAATAATCATTTCACAATGCCTAATTTCCTAACAAAAAAACAAACAATCATGAACATTTTCTAGCTTTGCAAACTAAACTGAATGAAGAAAAGAGCGCCAGACAGAAAGCGGACTTGAACTCGCAAGAAAAGGAGCGCCAAATGCTGATGCTGTCGGTGGACTACCGGCAGATCCAGCAGCGATTGCAGAAGTTGGAAGGCGAGCACAGGCAGGAACTGGAAAAGAGCAAGGTGCTCCAGTCGCAGGTCGAGCAGGAACAACAGAAGAAAACGGTGCTCCAGTCGGAGATATCGCACAATTTGAACGAACTGAACAAGCTCAAGGTGAAGGAGAGTCAGTTGAGCACTGACATCACTCATTTACAGGTAACATGAGCTTCAATGTAATTCTCTCTCTGTCTTCTACTGTCAGAGATCCATAGTCCTTTTTTCGACTATTAATTTAAACTAAGTTTCTCAAGACACAATAAAGAATCTCTCTCTCTCTCTCTCTCTCTCTCTCTCTCTCTCTCTCTCTTGCCGTTTTTGAAATATTTAGGTTTTTGTCAAAATACAGTAATAATTTTAATGCTTCATTCCTCTAAGCGTATTTAAGTTTTTAAAACCAAATATTGTGCTGAAGTATTTCTATTTACTGAATTTTGTGTTGCAATAATAAAAATTATACTACCTTATACAGACTGTCTAAAAAATTATTTTAAATAATTACTAGCTTTAAACGGCAAAGCTATCACTTGTTTAATTTAAATGGAACACCCTGTATATTTTACAAGAATCAGATGCACAATTTAATTGTCTATCACACTGTATTATACCATTTTTTTACCAATCTCTTGAAGTTTCCGTAGAAAATGCATTTTCTTGTAATTTAGAACTCATTTATCAATATACCCATGGAATACTGACATTTTAGATTATTTTTAAGGATGTACCAAATTTTTAAAGAGTACAGATACTAATATTGTCGATATAGTTCGTTTATTTAATTAAAAAACTAAAAAAAACTGTTTAAATATTTATTAAAGAGGACCAATTAATATGATTCCAGTATTCAAACTACATTGTTTGCGCGTTTATTAACAATAATTGCTCCAAATATTAAAAAACTGATTTTGTATGTGTATTAGACAGAAATGATATTTCGTTTTTTGACAAATGCTTATTTATAACAGAGACGTTCGTTTTCATAACTTATTATTACATTGATTTCTGATTCAAATCCACATTTATTTAGAATAATTTATTAACGAACACAATTAAGTATGTAATTAATTAGTATTTGGGTGGTATAATTAATTAATTGTATACTTTTTTATAAAGATTTATATAAATTTCTTTTTACATACAAATGGGCTAGTAATATTATCTTTTTGCTAAAAACGATAATATTACTAGCCTGTACATTTTGTACATTTGTTGCTTTAAAAACAGTCTAAAATGTCAATATTCCATGGGTATATTGATAAATGAGGTCTAAATTATAAGAAAATGCATTTTCTACAAAAACTTGAAGGGATAGGTAAAAATGGTATAACACAATTTGACAGACAATTAAATTGTGCATCTGATTCTCCTAAAATATACAGGGCGTTCCATTTAAATTAAACAAGGTATTGCCGTTTAAAGCTAGAAATTATTTAAAATAAAATTTTGGACACTCTGTATGAGGTAGTATTATTTTTATTATTGCAACACAATAACTGATCAATAAATATTTAGTATTAAAAACTTTGATACCCTTGGAGAAATGAAGCCTTAACATTTTTACTGCAGTTTCACAAAATTGAAAATATTTCAAAAACGGTAAGGTTTAAGTGTGATAAACCGTCATCAAATTTACTTTTATTTTAATCGTAGAAACTAAAAATGTAATAATATACAGGGTGTTCCATTTAAAAAAAAATACAACTTTGATATTTTTTATGTATTTAGGACACTCTCTATGTTGTAAAATATTTTTAAATTGTAGCTCTAATAGTTCTTCAATGAACCCAAAACTTACAATTTATAAAAATAATTCGTTTAGCTACAATATTCCGTGTCATTTGTGGTGAACAACCCTGTATAACTCAAATAACCCTCTAAAACAATATGACCTACTATTTCAATCATTGTTAATTGGTCCGTTCTTTTTTCATCATATATATACTTACATCATTATATTTCTAGGAATCTAAAAAAATTCTGGAAGAAGAATTATACAAAAGCAAACGCCAATGGCAGATGGAACAACTCCAAATTAAGGAGCTCCAAGACTCTTTAGAAACCGAGCAATACTTCTCCACACTCTACAAAACTCAAACTCAGGAACTCAAAGAGGAGATTGACGAAAAAGTCCGCCTCAACAAGGAGATGGAGGAAGAATGTGGCTCATTGAAACACCAGTGCCAATTGGCTCTAGCCAGAGCCGACTCAGAGGCTTTGGCAAGGTCCATAGCTGAAGAAACAGTCGCTGATCTTGAAAAGGAAAAGACCATGAAGGAATTGGAATTAAAGGACTTGATAAGCAAGCACAAAAATGACGTTAATACCAAAGAATCGCTCTTGAATGCCATGAGAGAGCGCGAAGCTGACTTAAAAAGGCTGAACGACCAATTGCAGAAAGAGAAAGAAGATATCTCCAGGCAGTTGAAACAACTTCAAGAAGAATTTAACAGAAAAGCGTTCAATAACGAAGAAATTGATAAGTTAAAAACGAAATTACACAACGAGTGCATGTTGAAACAGCAGGCTGTCAACAAGCTGCACGAAATCATGAACAGGAAAGACTTTATCGAGAAGCAAGGCAAAACCAAAGTGTCCAGCACGAATTTGAGGAGGAAAGAAAAAGACTTGAAGAAGTTACAACAAGAATTGAGTCAGGAGAAGGAGAAATACAACCAAATGATCGCCAGTTACCAGAAAAATATACAAGACCTGAATGTGAGTGGATTTTATTTTGTGGTTTAAGGTGTGTTAATGGTTTTTGTTTTCCAGATACAATGTAACGAAGAGATGGCTTCTAGGCAGAGGTTACAAATGGAGTTGGATAGTAAAGACGCGGAAATCGAACAGCTCCAGATGAAACTTGCTGCGATGAATAGCGAGACTGCTTCGTTAAGTTCGGCAGATAACGATGGTATGTTAGATATACTAACCTCACTTATTTGAATATTTTGATTTATAAAGCGGTTTTATTGACATCTGGTAATTTGATAGAGAAGAACCATTGACTTCTGAATTAAAATGACAGACAAGTGTCATTGTCATATATTTTTTCTTTAGACACATTATATTCATGATCTTCTCCAAACTTTTTTCATGCGCTTTGATTTTGAAAATTGGTTTAAAACTTGTATAATCCTAATAGTCCTAATAGTATTAATTAAAAAAAATGTTTAAAAAAGGGTTAAAATTCGGTTATGATGGACACTAGACTGATTTTATTTAAAAAAAAATCTTTTGGGCTTCTAAATCCACAAAATAAGAGTAATATACAGGGTCGCTGTTATGTATGGAAACGGTCGATTATCAGGTAAAATATAGGAGGTACCGCAAAAAGTTGAATACAAAAGTTATAGGATATTTAAATATCTAATAGCGACTAATACATTTAAGTACACAGGGTCGGTCATAAAGTCGTGGTACATCAAAGTTTCATTTTTTTAAATAGAACCCCCTGTATACCACTGCATATTTCAATTCTTCCTTCAATTCTAAGAAAAAATCCAAATACACACAATGTACCTGAAACCAACCGTTTTCGAGTTATTGACTTTTGAAAATATCACTTAAACAATTTGATTTAATTAATTTTGATATGTTCAGTTTCTTTTAACGATGCCATTCTGCGGAAACTGTGATACTTAATAATATTTGACATTAGTTCTCAAGTTAGCATTTTTAGATGTATAAAATGAGATTATATCAAGTGGAAATTACAAAATCTTTTCTTAACATTTCAATTCTTCAATTTATGTACATTGTGTATTACGATTATTGCTTAAAATTGAAGGAAGCATTGAAATATGCAATAATATACAGGTGGTTTCATTTAAAAAAAATAAAGTTTGATGTGCTACAACTTTATGACCGACGCTGTATACTTAAATTTACTAGTAGCTAATAGGCATTTAAAAACTCATTACAACAGTATCACAGTGGCATCATTAAATGAAACTAAACATATCGAAATTAATTAAATCAAATTGTGTAAACGATATGTTCAAAAGTCAATAACTCGGAAACGGTTGGTTTGAGGTACATTATGTGCATTTCAATTTTTGCTTAGAATTGAAGAAAGAATTGAAATATGCCATAATATACAGGGAATTCTATTTAAAAAATTGTAACTTTTATGTACCACGACTTTATGACCGACCCTGTATACTTAAATTTATTACTCGCTAATAGATATTTAAAAATCCTATAACTTTTGTATTTAACTTTTTGCGGTACCTCTTATATTTTACCTAATAATCGACCGTTTCCATACATAACAGCGACCCTGTAGAAAAAATTATTATGTATGTATGTTGATTACAAAAGGCGGACGCAAAAATATGTCTAGTAACTGATATGTTTGTAATTTTTTTTTAAGAATTAAATTTTATTTATTTTTTTAAATTGGGCGTTTGAAAACGCCAGGTTTGAACTAAAAACCGCTACTCTTTACTCAAATGTTATAGTCTTATATTGAATAAAATTGGAATAAAAATAGTATATTTACTTCCTCACGTGAGGTCATATAACGAGTCATGTTGGTTACAAGGTACTTTACTACGAGAAGTGTCTAGTTATAATATGCTCTAAGGTTCTCAATAATTAAATTTTTTGTAGGTGAGTCGGATCACGTTTTCGAGGGCTGGTTATCGATACCTTCGAAAGTGAACGTGAGAAGGCACGGCTGGAAGAAGCAGTACGTCGTGGTATCGAGCAGAAAAATCATCTTCTACAATTCAGAAGGTGATAAGCAGAACACCGATCCCGTTATCGTTTTGGATTTGTCGTAAGTGCTATCGTATTGATCCTTAATACAGAAAAATAAAAAAAACAGCGCCAAGTTACCTCGAAATTATTACATATTAAAATCGTTATTTTTATTTACAGTAAAGTGTTTCACGTGCGTTCGGTCACACAGGGTGACGTCATTAGGGCAGATTCCAGGGACATTCCCCGGATATTCCAGCTGCTCTATTTGGGCGAGGGAGAAGCAAGGAAGAATGCGGACGATCCCAATGTATTGCTGGACAACTCGTCCATAAGGAGTTTCGAGGACAAGCAGCCCGGGTTTGTGTCCCACAAGGGGCATGAATTCCTCAATATTTCCTATCATATGCCGACCACGTGCGAGGTTTGTCCCAAACAGATGTGGCACATGTTCAGGCCGCCTCCGGCCCTGGAATGCCGACGTAAGTTTTCAATTTATTTAACCTTTAACAGCTAATGTGCGGACATGCTACTCTGTCATACCGCTATGCTATTCTTTTATGTATAAGACAGTACAAACAAAAACAACTCCTTTTTTCAGAAACATTTATCCATAAATGATTTAAAAGATAAAAAAAACATCAAAATACACTAAAATAAATACTCACATATTTTATAAATATACTATTTATATTCTATACTTAAATCTATTTCACAGTCAATGCAGATTTCTTTTGAGATATTGGATATATTCTGCCCTTATGTACAATACACATCCATAATGAGTCTTTCTTCATAACCTTGGTGGATATTTTTTCCAGGTGCTTCGTATTTTCAGATAATTTTTTAAATCACCTGGTGGTTCATATTCATTAGTACCACATTTTTTTTCAACTGTTATTACCCAATTCTCGTTCAAGTTCACAAGTTTATTTATTGTGCTTCTGGATAATCAAATTTTATGCTAAATTTTAAAAAAAAATAGTCTGAATCGGAATCTTTGCCATCCATCTTTCTTTCGATTTTGAGATACCATCAACTTTATTTTATTAAATTTGGATTTTTTTTGTTATTTCTAAAAGTTATGATTATACAAGTGCAAAATGTTGTAGCACGCTTGCCAAAAATTGAATAATAAAGAAAATATCTGTAAGAGGCAATTGTGTAAACTCATTTCTTTAATTGTTTGTGTAAAAAATAATACACGTTTTTTGGGGAAGTGTATACAACATTGCATTTGGGAGGTCGTAATTGGGCGCCAAATATACTTTACGCCCCACGTTGGGCGCCTAATATACTACGCCCTACATTGGGCGTCAAATATACTACGCCCTACATTGGGCGCCAAATATAATAGGGTGTTTGTTATAAACCGCTGATATAAACAGTATATTGTATTTTTCTGAACCATAAGTCGGTATAATTAGATTAGTCAATTTTATTCTATCCAGTTAGTCTGGGCAATGGCCCAGCTACCTCAATACACCGGTTCTCGATATATCACCGAAGTTAAGCGATGTTAGACGATGCAAGAGGATAGACGGGTGACCGTGTGGAATATCTGTCGTGCTGTTGTTCCATGGCGAGAGTGTAAAATCTATTGATACCCATTGCACATTCACGCCGGTTCGAGGCTGGATTAGATCGGATATCTCGTGAGTAAGAGTCCATTTAGACACTCGCCAAGTAGCCTAGGTAGGCCTTTGACTATGATATGGGCGAGGTCCCGTCCAGATTAGCCTTAGCAGCAAAAAAGGGACGCTAACTTAAGAGTCCATTTTACTAGCCCGAAAATGTAGCAAAATAAGCGTTCGGAATTTAACGTTTTATGTAAAACTAGCTAGGCATTTTTACACAAATGAAGAAGGAAATTAATCTATGTAGTAGTAATAATATTGTAGCACATTTTTAGACAACTTCTTTATTTTTAAGATTTTGATGGTCAAACATCAATAAAGTATTCCTTATGTTTGGACTAAATTTTCTCGAAAATAAGACATAATTTAAAATTCCGTTACAATACGGAAATATATGGAAGTTTTGTGATTACAATGATATATAATTTATATGGTTTTGTAACAAATTGCTCGCTATTTTATGGCAAATGTTGAAGCTCTGCAAACCTTAATCAGGTATTAATCAAAGCACGTGTGTTTGGAATTTTGGATGTGGCTTAACATGACAGGATCGGGCTAAAGCTTGATTTTCATGCATCCGTTATCCGACGATACGATGATACGATATTAATTTTATTGGTTGAATTTAAAGGCTTCGGTTGGTTAACTGTTTCTAACCAATCGAAGTCTTTAAATTTAACCAATAAAATTAATATCGCATCGTCGTATCGTCGGATAACGGATGTATGAAAATCAAGCATAAGTCTTGGGCAGATTTCTGAAATATAATGTATATTTCTTTCAACCACACCCGTTTTACCCGACCCGAACAGTACAGCGTAATAGATTCTTAAAATACGATTTACTTTTATAAAAAAAATACTTGGCACATACTGTATTTTTTTCACGTCTTTTTTTCAGGATGCCGCGTAAAAATCCACAAGGACCACCTGGATAAGAAGGAGGACAACGTGCCCCCCTGCAAACTCCATTACGACCCCTCCTACGCCAAAGAATTGCTCTTGCTAGCGTCCTCCAACGAGGAACAGAAGCAGTGGGTGTCCCGACTGAGCAGGAAGATCCAGGCCAGCGGCTTCAAGGCCAACAACGCCAACTCCACCACGGACTCGGCCAAGATCTCGCCTAGGTGAGTGAGAGTGAGAATCGGTGAGGCGTTGCTAGTTGGCTTGGTCGGTTAGCTAGTTGGCTGATGATATGGTTGCTGATGATGGTAGCGACGAGATCGCAATGGCGAAACAAGTAGGGAACGAGGCATGGTAGAAACTTGGATGTTGTTCGTTTGGGATATTGGGCAAAAGTAACTGAATTGAAGGTTCTAGAGTAGTGATGGTGCTAGACATTATTATTAGTGATGATGCTAGACATTTATTTGTATATTTTCAAGCACTGCATTGACACAAAAGCAATTTAAATTCGGACTATAACCTTCAGTTTGATCATTACAGTTCTAAAGTTACGAAAATTACGACAAATGCGTTTGTAGTATTTGAAATAAAGCCAAAATATTTACAGAATTTGATATTCTGTGATATAACACTTGCAAATTCTGTAAATATTGGTTTTAGATAAAAGTTTCAATGATGAAAGTTCTAGGGTCTGTCAAATTTTGATATAGGTAACTTGCATTTCTTAAATATAATGCTTTATATCTGATGCTTCAGTTGAATAGATATTTTTTTGATACTGTGTAATTATTTCTAGGACACCTAAGTATAGGTATCCTGAAAGATCAGTTACATTTTCCCAATAATCCGTTAAATATGATCGGTAGTATCTAGTGAAGATTCAAATTCTGCTTTTGCCATAATGATATTAAAAATGATTGAGATAACGCACATATACTCTGTACAACATACTTGCGACACTACGTCACTGTTATATACAGGGAGGCCCATCGAAAACGTTCCGCAAGGCATAACGGCTAGGGTATTCCTTTTTTCAAAAAATCCAAAAACACGTCAATTTTGTTTGTGAGGGGGACAACTTTAGCCCCAAAAATGATTGCAAAATCTTCAACCCTTTGAGCGGGGGTGTCATGTGTTTTTTTAATATCCTTTGGACACTTGTACGATTCACACCGCGCCGGTCTTATTGGCTAATTTTCTTGTACTCAGCGTACTATCCATGGCAACTTGGCCCAATACGAATACCTCCATAGCTTCATTTACTACAGGATTTTCCCTCTGCCTCTTTTTATTCATAACGGAACCAGTTTCACGAAATTTTGCTACTAACTCGCGAACAATTTTGCCATAAAGGTGTTTGTCAGGATGGCGTTCATTGAATATCTACGCAACCCGATTGCCACATTCATTATTTTTAAAATAAAGTTCGATTATTTCCACTTTTTCTACAAGTGAGTACATCATAATTGTTAAAAAGTTTAACGATATTGAGAAGAACTTCAACGCACAAGTCACAGAACAGCTATCTAGCAACTACCGCACCTGATCGTTCAACCTTGTGGCAAGTGAAAACATGCGTAAACATCTAGAAATAATAAGAAAAAACAAGCAAATTGGTCGAAGGAATTTATCCTTATTATTTACTCTGATAAATGCTTCAGTAAACTTTTCAAATTTCAATCCTTCATATTTTCTCAATTACTCTACCGATTTTAAAAAGCTCTTTTCATTGCGGCGCCACTTGACTCCCCTTCCCATTTGAAAAAAGTTGGGGGATGACACCCCCGCTTAGAGGGTTGAAGATTTTGCAATCATTTTTGGGGCAAAAGTTGCCCCCCTCACAAACAAAATTGACGTGTTTTTGGATTTTCTGAAAAAAAAAATTACCCTGGCCGTTATGCCTTGCGGAACGTTTTCGATGGGCCACCCTGTATCTAATATCCGTTCTAGGGTGAGTCTGATATCAGTTAATATTGTTCAGAAAGTTTAAAGAACGTTTTATGTGAATCTATTAAACAAATATAAATTTAAAATTATAAATAAATTTCTTATTTCTATTTTTTAAAATTGTAAAAGCCAATCTGCCTAAATAATGAATGTATATTTATTTACTCAATCTATATGCATACACTCCTCAAAATGGCACCAAGTTTCTAGTAGTTTATAGTATAAACACTATTACAGGATGTAAATGAATAAGTACAGAAAAATAGGGGTGATATAACATGTTGCCTTACACAGATTATTTGATATACTATTAATTTTTAAAAATTATATATATTTTTCAAACTTATTTATTTGTACCCTGTATACTTTTTCCCTCAATTTGCTTAGAAGGAGGTTTTAGAGCTTCTCTGTAGATTAGATATAGTTGCGTGGTTTTGTACTTGATTATAGATAGTTTTTTTAAAATTTTATACAGGGTAACTTAAGAAAAACGTATTACGATATTGATTATATTTTTTTAAGGTTTAAATTCTGTTTGTGCTTGTAATTATTTGATTAAAGTTTTTATGCTTATATCTAAATGATCTGTAATACTTTTTTCCTACCAGTATATAGTGCTTTTATTTAGAGATGAATTGTGAAAGAGTCGCACCCTTAACCTGCATATTTATTATGTCATATATGAGAAATTGGTGCACATGTTCCCAGCACTAGATATTAAAATGCACTTTTGGTGACTATACCGTGCTGGCAACTATTACTTTTGGGTCGGTATTTACATGTGTGGAAGTAAATCGCATAGGGATCTTATAAAGTCGAAGTGAGAGAAATGCGACGGTGTGCTGTTGCGTTGTTGCCTGTACGCTTTTCCCTATCAAGTAAAGTAAAATCACGATTGCAAACCGCTTACTTTTAAGACTTTTTTTCGCAAAGGTAACTAGATAAAATCATTAGATATGTTTCTGAGCATCTGAAATGGAATTATAAGGATATCGTTAGGGTGTCCATTTTTTATAACGGGAAAACATCAGTAATCGCGATAATTTAAAAACTCAAGTTTTTTACACATAACACACCATAACTTAAGAACCACTTTAGATCTTGAAGCTTTTTTTATTTTGAAGATTGGATCATTTACAGTATGTTTACATAAGAAAAATTCGATAAGGTTTTTTTCCATCCTAAAATTTAAACAACCCATCCATTTACTTTTAGTGTGTAGCAGTTTTCAGCAATCTTGTAACTTTTTTATTTATAAAGATTTTTGCATACTGTCTGCGAAGAAAGTTTTTGAAAAACTACAATCAGTTATTTCCAATAGATTTCGAGATATCGATTTTTGAATTCAGAGGTCTAATAGCGCGACCACTGTCGAACACCAACTCAATTCCACTTATTTTTACCAAAAATGCAAGTGTTTCTAACTTACACTTAAACATTTTTAAGCTATAGGGAAAATTACAACGACTCGTTAATAAATAAACAAATTAAGTATCACGAGACGTAATTAAATCGTGAAGATGAACGCATGATGTACGCCTTTCCCTAGAACTTTAAGTACTGACAGAGGTACTGATTACTGATTGGTTCAACCGGTCGACTGCGACAAATCTGCTATATCCCCTTCCACGTCTCTTAGCAATGTGCACAGTTTCTCGGTTTATTTCATACGTTTGGCAACGTGTTTACTGTTCCCTCTTTGTTCAGTACATTATAAACGCATTGTACTCTTCTTACATACGGAAACCTCGACCCAAAACTAACCTTTGCCAGCCCTTAGTTAGAGTGTATGCCAAAAAATGATTGCGTTATCGAAAAAAAGGTTTTAGCATGCCTAAAAAATTTGAATAGGTAAAAATTAAAAAAAATTGCCAATATTTTTTTTTACATATTTAAAGTTACTATAGTACTGCAATTACCTCCATTTTAATTTAATTTAGAGGCGTGCGAAATTTAAAAATATTTATTGGTTTCTAAACAACAGAAAATAAAACATATTATTTTAAACCATGCATTCTAATAATTTACAAACTTTTTAAAAAGATATTGTAAACAACAAAAAAAAATTATTGAGAAAATACATAAGTTATTATTTTACAGTTTTCTCACAATATACCATACGATAAAAAAACGGCGTCAGCGAAGACTTGAAAATGAGGATCTCTGGCATTTTATATGTAAAATTATATGATAAATATCATCGATCGTCATTTCAAAGCCAACTATACGCTGTTTTTTTCGATCATTTTGTATAGAAGGAGGTAATTCCATGACATAGACTCCGTTTCTAATGCATGATTATAAAAATAGTATGACTTCTTTGTTAGCCTTATTTAATGTTACATATGAATAATATATTTATCCTTTATGTCGCGAACTTGTTTTGGTTTGGCATATATATCTTCTGTGGTAGTATTTTAAATTAAAATAATAATTAATAACTCTAAACGGTCGCTGGCTTCCTAGCTACTAAGGGTGCAATTTTTTCCTAATAATTTTTTTATTGTGATATGATATTCTTTTTGTACTTTAATAAATACAAGTAGTATTATGCTGCACAGTACAGGCCAGGCTTTTAGGAAACAGATAGCATTTGTAAGATTTTCGCACTTTTTTACCAATAATAATTTGTCTTGTGGGTTGTCTGTTTTTGGCACTTTTTATAGGCAGCTCGCGCATTAATCAAATATAGCTTGTTGCCTGATTAGAACTTGTAGAATTTTCTTAATAATACAGTATATAACAATCCATTTAAAAGTCACTATAGGCAGTTCTAAGAATTTTATTTTACTGGAACTTTTGAGATGGCAATTTTCTTTATTGTAGAGCAGCTATTGGATTATAAATATCTTTACAGAATATTTCCTAGAAATATAAGTGACTATGTTTATGGATTTATATGCTGTATTTTCATTTTGGCCTATTAAAATTAAGAATTACTATATGGGACAATAGAATATATATGTTTTTTAACATAGTTTTTATTTAATTAGACGACTTTACTATTACTATTTATTTTTTACATTGTTTACTCTAGGTACGCATTTTGTTAACTATATAAATATTAGATGCATTCCATTTACTTTATCGTATTTTTATTTTCAAGAATATAAACAAATTTTTAAATGGTACAGTTGTTTTCTTTTTGTTTTGAAATATAAAGGGGCGCTGCAAGAGTGCGTTGGACATAAATTGGTAAATATCAAAATGTACTAACTATTAAACACAATTTCAAAAAATCATGATTTTTTTTAATCGGATTTTTTATTTTAATCAATTTTCTATTTAAAGCCGTATCCTAAATGGCTAAATCTTTGTAACTCTGTCTGATAATGACAATAACACTTCTATGGCGCGTGTCGTTTTTCCACGTCGGTCACCGATATATTTTATTCTGTAAACTTTGCCGATGCCCCGATTTCCGCAAAAATAATCGGCCGCTTAGATCAAAGGGATTTTTTTTGGAAATAGTCATGATTGTCTTAAGTCGAGAATAAAATTAGTACCATTTAATGTTTAAAGTGCAAAGTACTTATTGCAAAACAAAATGTCGGTAGAAATTTGAAACCAAACCAAACCAAAGTAGAAGATAAATTAGGGAAGGCAGAAGTTACTTGATCAACATTCAGCTGTTGTAAAAAAGGTATAATACAGCCTTGACTCGAGCTTTTTTTTGACATTGATTAGTCCTCGGGAATTAAAATATAACTTGACATCAGAAGAAACTAGTTCTGCACTACAGAGTTTGCGAATGAAATGTATTCAAATACCGGATTTCTGGCACTTCACAATTTCAAAATAAATCCCTGCTATTTAGAAGAGTAATTGATTCACACGAAATAACTTCAAATATCGGTCCAACATTTTAATAAATGAATAGATATTAAGGATATTTGTTATATGTTATATCTTTTACAATTATTTTTCGATCTATTAACGTATTTAAACGTTACAACAGCAAGTGTAACTTTGTACTTATTTGATGAATAGATGTAGGGTATATTTGATATAGAAATACTTTTTTATAGTTTTATAGGAAAATTTTTTATAATTTTTACAGTTATCTATTGATTTATCATAAGTTTTTAAACAAGTTGATTTTTTTATTTCATCATGATGATTTCAAAAAATCATCAAATTTGGGGCGCCTGTTATATTTATAACCAAATGTAACAGGCGTCCCACGTTGGGCACCAAACATAACAGGCGCCCTACGTTGGGCTACTAAAAATAGTTCAGAAGATTACAAGTCGTTTATATCTATCTATAAGTTCAAAAAAGACGAAATTAAACTCAAAAAAATTAGAAGTCATCGCCTGTTTTTGTTACTTATTGATCTCCTATGTCCCTATATCTCCAAACCGAACATGCCATAAGGTAATTTTTGGATGCGCACTCGCCGAAGCCCATTCTCTCCACCTCTATATCTTTGATCTAAAACCACACTTTTTGTTTGTTTTTGTCTACATTATTTTGACGTTAGGGAATCGACGAGGTCCAGCTTGAAGCCCTACCTCAACGTTCCTCAGAGGTCGGCCACGCTGCCCGCCAACTCGTCCATGATCAACAAATGACGAACAATTCGCCAGCTCAAACTGAAACTAACGAACTCTTACAGTGATACGTCCACGCAGCCTAAGAACAGACGCAGGTGACTCGGTGATATACCTAGGATTAAAATTAAAATACGCAAAAAGAAAGTTTATATATCTTGCATCTAGACAAACTACGAGGTGATTTTTACAATGATGAAATAGTTGGCAATACTGATGCAAAAGGAAATTATCGTTTGAAAAATTTTAGTAGATTACTGTGCTCAAAAATTCGAATCTGTTTTGATTAAAAAAAACTTCGCCGATTAGATTCAATTTCTAAGCTTGTTTTGATACTGCGACGAAAATAAGTCATGATTATATAAACATTTTTTGATCGAAAATTTGTTTTAGCATGAGTACCAATCGCTAATTCCAAAATCTCTAACACAGTGTAGCCAACTGTCTCAATTAGTATGTATTGTCTTATACAGGGTGGTCCGAACTGTATTCCGGCACCATATTCTGCAGATAAAAATGAGTAAAAAAGTTCGTATAAATGTATGTTCTAAAATGCTTCATTTAGAAGATACAGGGTGTAGGAGTTTCATTTTTATTTCAATTTTTTCCAAATAATTTCTGGAGTAAAATCAATATTTAGATGAAAATTGGTGTCTGGGAGTTTTTTAACATGAGAAATTTGATTTTGATGTTAATATGACTCCTATTTGTAGGTGGCGCCACCTACATATGTTTTAACTGTTTTGAAGACTGGAATCATTAATTTGAAATGCTTTTGTGCCAAAAATTCAACAGAAACTATTTTATCATCTATTATGATTAATTTAAAAAAAATGAAAAGTTCCCAAATTTATCATTTCGGTCAAATAAATAACTATCTACTCGACATGTGTATTTTTGGTCAATAATGGCATGCATTGACTATTTCCATTCTAAATGTCTTGAGAACGGTTGCTCGTAGCGATTTTTACCAAGAGACATTTTTTACGTAAAAAATCACCTAAATGTATATTTTTTTACTCAGTAGTTTTATGCAGGTACGGACGAAAAGTTATTACTCTTCAAACCAGTTAAAAATATTTAGGTGGCGCTCTCTACAAGTAGGAATCATATTGACATCAAAATCAAATTTCTCCTGTCAAAAAACTCCCAGACACCAACTTTCATTTAAATATTGACATTATTTCAGAAGTTATTTGAAAAAAATTGAAATTAAAATGAAACTTCTACACCCTGTATCTCCAAAACTAAGCATTTTAGGACATACGTTTATACGAACTTTTTTACTTATTTTTATCTGCAGAATATGCTGCCGAAGTTTCCGGAATACAGTTCGGACCACCCTGTATAATGACTATGCAATATGTATAAAAGTGTGAATCTTTTTATAAATTTCTTAGGTTAAAATTTTACGATATATGTCTTGCTTTGAAATTTTACAAATCAGAAAATATTTTAGATTGAAATTACGGTTGACTGAATAACACGACGTAACGGTAGGCATTGAGTTGTATTTTCTTGTTTCTTCAAGCTTTGATTACTTCAGAATAACACTACAAAAAAATTTAAAAGTATTTTAGAAACAATTTATATTTTCATATTGCAGTTTTAACTATTGAATTTAATTTCCAACAGAAATGTCAATCATAAATGCCTAGCGTGATGTTTTTTTACTCACAAGAGTATTTTAGCATGAAAAATTTACAGTTTAAACACTAGCTAGGAATAACAAACAAAATATACACTTTTAGAAATACTAATCAAAATTCTAGCTCAATTTTAAGTAAAATTAATATTAGTAAATTTAAAAAAAATTCTATTTAGATTTTTTAATAAGCTAGCAAACTTAATTGGTGCTATATAACTAAATTTATTAGTGTCTTGACCATTGGGTGAGTTATATTAAGTACTTTTTGAAAATAATACGCTTTATTGAAGTTAATAATGACTAAATAGTACGAGAGTTAGGAAGGTCGGAAAAACAAGCATTTTAAGACGTCTGGCTCTTTGATATATCTTTTACTATGCTCTCTAGAACAGCATGCGGCCCGTCTGGCTGCCGCACACTGGTTCGCTCTTATGGACGTACGTGGCCAAAACCTGTATTTTATTATATCAGTGAAAATGAATGTATCAGTTAATATTTTTTAGTAAATCTATAAATATTTAGGCGTTTGGAGTTGCCTAACATATAAAAAAAGTTCTTTATCATTAGGCGTTTTCAATGATGATGGTTCATTAGAATTTAAAAGTGTTATTTATTACCAATAATTACAAGGGTATTACTTTATAAAGGTATTTAACAAAAATTGAAAAAAAAAACAGATTGAAGAATGGTTAGAACATAACCGGTATATAGTTCATAAGCTAATAAATAGATAGATACAGAGTGGCCTATTAGTGTGAGAAAGTCCAATATCATCGTTGTAGACGAAAATATGAAAAAAAGTATTATATAGATATTTGCATGGTTTATAACAGTGCATATCCTAAAAATATTTTGTTATATACAGGGTATCAAAAAAAGTAATGATAAAGCGTTGTCTTTTTTAAATCACAGCTCCCATTTTTCTGTACATAATTCGATTCAGCATAAAATTGTGCATATAGGACACTATTTTTATTTGGAAAACTATGCGGTGTTGCCATGCTATTTCTTCTTTATTAAAATTTTGGTTAATAATAGTAGGTACCTACATATATCCGAAAATTGGTTAAAACCTGAAGTTAATTTATATTTGTTAATATCTAGTACTATACTATGTTAATACCCTGAACTTTACCAATATTTTCTTAACACCAAAGAAACGAGAATAAATTTGTGAAGAAAAACTCACATTAATGTGTGCCGGTTATTTTTTTATGGCGTGGCTAACAATGTAATATTTAAAATACTCTATTTCAATTTTTTAAATGCACATTTCTTAGCCATGCAACATTTATATAAAACTTTTGTTTACGAAGACAATTTATGCTGAATAGCAGATATTAGCAGCTAATTTGACATGGTTCTTAAAAAAGACATTATGAAGTTTCATTTAAGTTAAAAACAATCACTTAGTTCAGCTTCGATATCCTTGATTTAGTTATGTATAAAAATATATTTCAAAGGTACAATATATTTTGATATTTTGAAATGGTTAGTATTATTTTTTTTTCATTTTATTTATCAAAAACTGATATTATATGAGGAAAGTATACGTGCAGTATATAGTCTAATTATAATATGCACTATTTTATATTATTTTGAAAACACTAAGCGAGTAATTTATTCATTGTCGATACAAAAATAGTTAAATGCTTTTTTAGACTATTGTATATAAAATGTTATTATATAGGTGCTCTAAAGTGCATTTTTCCAAAATATATTTTTATAACAAACCTTTCATGTTTTTAAATATAGATTATAAAATATTTGATCATATATGATCAAAATAATTTTTTTCGATATATTGAGTTTTGGCCAAATTTTTATAAGGGAGGGAACTACTGTGTGCCGGTAAACCCAGAAAGAAGATCCCATATTTGTATTAGTCCTTTAAATTCTAGTATTGAATATTAATCGAACATGTCTCCATAGCGCAGTGCGTAGTTTCCGACAACGAACCGATGATTCAGAGTTCGAATCCGAGTCAGGTCAAAGACTTTCTTATTTTATTTGCGTTTATATTCTGATAGTAAAGTATTAAATATATGTTTTTTTTAATTACCAGAATTATTTAATACTTTACTATCAAAATATAAACGAAAATAAAATAAAAAAGTCTTTGACCTGACCCGGATTCGAACTCTGAATCATCGGTTCGTGGTCGAAAACTCTACGCACTGCGCTATGGAGGCATGTTCGATTTATATTCAATACTAGAATTTATAGGACTAAATTAATAAAAAATATAGGATCTTCTTTCGATGCGCAGTAGTGAACGCAACGGGTATCGGCAGCCAGACATGCTGTTCCAGAGAGCATAGTAAAAGATATATCAAAGAGCCAGACGTCTTAAAATACTTTCTCCAAAACGTTGCTAGCTCTTAGACTAAAACGACAAGAAAAAAATCATAAAAACTTTTCCAACTTATGCTATAGAAAACTTTAAGAAATTTTTAAATTACTGAACTGTCATAGTAATATTTAAACTATATATCAGATTTCAATGAAAATCTGTATTCTTATTATAGAACTGTTATAGTTTATAACATATTTAGAATTATTATAACAAAACAAGTTATACACTTTTTGGGACTTTAAAAAAGCTTTTTCTAGCTCAATTTTTGAATATATTAGATAGAAATGATATATTACATTTTTCTAAACACCTAAATCTTAGTGTTATTAAATGCTATCCAACTTAATATATCGGGTGCGTCGCAAAAGCGGCTCACCTTTAACGTTTAATAATTTTTTTAGATAAAAAAAACAAGATTTGGTATGTTAGTATATGACATAAATTGGGATTGATTGACGTATTGCATTGTTTTCGGTCACTTCCTGTTTCACCGGAAATGATTACAGCTTTTGATTTTTAAATGGTACCCTCGGTATTTTTTTACTTTACTCAATAGAAAATGACACTCTGAATCAAATGACATATCATATGTCAACGTTTGACATTCTCACTTAAGAAAATCGTATTTTAAATTTCAATCTAGAGTGTCATGGCTGTGTTAAAAACGCTAATTTTTAATCAATGAGCCTTAGAAAAATATATTTGATTGTCTAATGTTTTTCGTGTTTTGTCCTGGTCGGTTAAAAGATGCCCAACGAATAATTTGGTATCACACACTTGGTATTTCCAGTCAAATTGTCGTTATATTTATGTCCATGGCTACTCTACAAAATTGCTATTTTTAATTGAAAATGCCAACATTTGACATATGCTAGGTCATTCTATTCAGAATGTCATTTTTTATCAAATGAAGCAAAAAAATACCAAGGGTGTCATTTAAAAATCAAAAGTTGTAGAAATTTCCGGTGAAACAGGAAGTGACCGAAAATAATTGAATATGTCAATCAATCCCAAATTTGTCATATACTAACATATCAAATCTCATTTTATTATCTGAAAAAAAAATAAAAAAAGTTATAGGGGTGAACCAATTTTGAGACGTTCCCGGTATACGTAATTTTTTTGACAGATATGGATTTTAAAATTTTTAATATTACTAGGTATATCCAGAAGTTTGTTAACATACGGGGTGTTATTTTAGGACGTGGTCAAACTTCATGGGTTGATTCTTTTTAGGTGATTTTAAGACGAAAAATTTATATTAGTATAGGTCAGAAAATATTTCTTTTTAATATACAGGGTTTTAAATTTTTAAAAATATATATTTTTTTCTTAAATATCTTATTAATCTTTAAAGGGGACAAAAAGTTCATTTTTTAGTTGCTCAATCTGGGAAAAATAAAGGAATTTAAAAAGCAGTGGTGCACGATTTTTTAGGATATTTACGAAAAACAAAACGATTAATTTAAACAAAATTAACACGCTGTGTATATCTAAAAGCAAGCATTTCTTATTTTTTAATACCTATTTTCTAATAATCATTTTCTATTAAAATCGCTCAAAAAATCTTGAAGTTTTTATTATATACTTAAATATCACCCTGTATATATATGTATACTGAAAAAAATCACTACATCTGTGATGAACTGGAATAATATTTTCCAATCTTGTGGTATATATATAGGTATAATTTTTACCTTATATTCTCTATTATTATCATTATTATTAAACATCGAAGAAGCTGACATAATACTGTTTTTATTTTTATTTTTTTTTTGACATGCGACATTCCTTTTATTTACTAATACAACAAAACATTGTTCGGATTAGTTTTGTTAATTATTATTATAATTATTATTTGTACAAAGTAGTTTTATATGTTTTTTTTCTCGACCTGTATCATACATAACCCCATTTTAAAATTGATATTTTTTAAGATTGATTTATGTTTTTGACGCCTAGTTGATGTGTGCCTTGTATTTTTATAGGTCTGTGAAAATATCAAAACCTTGTATCATAAGCGACATTATCACGGTGATTCTGTATATTTTACGATTATATGTATACATATAAATCAGGTTTTTCCAAAATAAATTGTTCTATTTATTGCATTGCTGTGTTTTTTTTTGTCTACTAATTTAAGATGGCGCTGCTCTAGCAAAAGTTTTACATTAAACGAAATACAAACCCCAAATCATAGACACAATGATAACAATACACAGGTTTGGATTATTATTCAAAGGTTTGGATTAACGCAAAAGTGTTTACAAAAAATAACTATTTTATTTTGTAGATTTTCTTGCAGTGGCGAAATACCCATATAGGATTTTTTGGAGAGATGAATCCCAAATAGATATAGACATTTTTTATTAAAAATCTGTAATCTTTATTTCTGTAATAATTATAATGAATTGGCAATTGCACGATATTATAGTATATTCTAATTAAAAAACTTTATTTTTAAGAGCACTGTTTAGATTTTCTTAGTAATCGAGATGGTAGATTATTATTTTCTAATTTTGGTGCTGTGCAATTGCCAAGTCATTATAATACGTTTTTCCTCGGTTCCGTGTGGATAGAAAGTCACAATTTAGTTAAATACAATTTATTTAACACTAATTAACAATAACGATAAAAGACTTAAAGAACTATTTACAAACAATTGATGACTATTTATCTACAAAGAATTTATTTTGAATTTTAGCGCGTAAACTGTACTCGTCTATTTATGTCTGTCCTCTTTAGGCCCCAGCCGCCGGCTTTTATACCCACAGCTAAAGATTTCTCGAATAGATCGTTAGGTGCATAGAGAAGGTTTCGATTGTTCTCATATGTACTACTCCATTCCAGTGGAACTCGATTCTTCTCGAAACTTCGAATGAATAATTACGGTGTCTATTCTTTAACGCGATGTTAAGGTCATCTGAGGGCGGGACATATAGTTAGGTTAGGTCGAGTCCACACGGGTCCGCAACAATAATTATTACAGAAATAAAGATGACTAATATTGACTCTAACAAATTATAACAAAATTGTTGAATAGGTGCTTAAAGAGAGACTAAATAAACTGACTTGATTTTACATGAGACCTCACAACTTTATAGAGTGGAAGAATTGTGTTGCGAGACTTTTGGCATTTTTTTACATTCTGTTTTTGATGGGAACTTTTTTTTTAGGGAAGGTTTATTTCACACTAGGTGTATAAATAATATTTTAGTTTTAGGGGGGGAAGGGGTTAAAGCCAATTATTTACTAAATTAATATAAATAAATAAGAAAGAATCTTCAAAATAAACCAACTTTTTTCTTCATCTCTTGCTGCTTCCAGCGCGGTAACTTCTCGAACTCGACATACGTCATTTGGAAGAGAGATATAAAGTCGTCGTGGCTGAGATGGAGCTAAAAGAAATAGAAAATAGTGTAGTTTAAAATTTTATATAATATAATCTAAGATGTTTACTTACCTCTTTGTTGAGCGGATCTACTCTAGATGGTAAACGATCATTAGGTTCTTTTAGTGTCGAAATAGGATACTTTTCGTAGTGATCGAAATCACTGTGTTCCGATTTGTGCTGAATAATATGCCCGTTGTGGGTTTTTTGGTCGGTATTATTCATCTGGATTTCCTGTTTGATTTTGTCAAACGTTTTATAATGCTAAAAACAAAATTAAATGACATCATTTAGCAGCCAGATATAGCTGTCTTAAATATGTATTATACCTTCCACAATTTAGAATCCCAATTAGGAAAGAATCCTTTGAAAGTTGGTGGTTCTTTTCCTTGTTTTATGTGGATTACTGTCATATTCATGTCTCTGCTGGATGGGTCTAGAATGTAAGAATATACATAATATATAGAACCCAAGCAGCATTTGGACGTCGGGACAACGTTGTGTCACGCGACCAAACGTCGGGGCGCAACGTCGGCACAACCTCGTGCCAACCCTAGTCTGCACTAGTTTGGAGAATAATTTTTGGGTCGAAACGACGTTGGATACCGACGTTGGCTAGAAGCCTAATTTAGTACAAACTGCAACGTTGTTTAAAATCCTAATTCACAGAAATACAAAACTAATATGGCGTCTAAGTCACGTTTTATCCTAAATTGGGATAATTATAGTAAAAATATTATTTTTTATGATTTAGTTAGAGACATATGTTAGATGGCAGTGAAGGAAAACAAAACAAAAGTATTTAAGTGTGGAGGATGTTTGAAGATCATAATTATTGAAACACTTTAACCGACTCTGTAACTCGTTACCCAAGGCAAAAAGTTAAACGCAAACAACTTTATTGATAAATGTATTGTTTCTACTTTGAAAAATACTAATGGGCCTTAAAATTAAAGAAGTTTTAAAAATTTTCTTGAATTTTTTTTAGTAAAATGAGAATAATTTATTCGCAGTCGAAAAAATTGTTTCCGCGTGTTTTTTAGGGTCAAATATTTCAAGTTAATGTATTCAAAAAGCAGGAATTGCTATTTTAGGAACGAAACATTTTCTTATTTAACAACATGGCGGCTTTCACTTTGTTGTTTTGGAGATTAAGATGGAGTAGTCGCATACTGGACTAATAAAGTCGCAGTTCGACCTTAACAGGTAGTATACTAGTCGCAAGATTGCCTAATTTAGTCATCCTAGAGTCTAGCTTGTGCCGCCCTCTATAATATAAATAAACGAGGGAGTGGATAAACTATCGGTAATATATGTCGATGTATATTTAAATTTAGTTTTATATGTACCTTTCTTATGTCCCATTTTAATTAAGTTTTTTTATAAAAACAAAAACAGCACTGAACTGTCTGACTGAACAGAACAATGAAGTGAAAATTTAAAATTTAAGGTTATGGTTCAATACAGTTGCAAAAAGGTAGTGACTCGACGTCCTACCAACGTAAGAATAAGGAAATGTAAACAACGTTGGAATTAGTAAAACAGACGACGTTTGCATAACGTTGGAATAGGTCCTGAAACTGACGTCGGAAAACTCTATATTGTCGAACGTTGTAACTACGTTGTCCGAATCACCTAAAGATCACTTAAGCAAAAAAGGTTACAAGACAACGTTTATTCGACGTCGCAGATGCTTCTACTTTGCTGTAGTACTAGTCCAACGTCGGCACAACGTTATAAAAACGTTTAAATTTATTTTAATACCCAAGGTAGGGAGCTAACTATTTTTTATAACTAATCCAACGTTGTGTTTAGTAAACATGTGGTCGCAAGTCGTGAAAATGTTACTTGGGAAGTTAATACCAGTAATACCAGAATATTTGTTTGAGAAATTGTTTGTTCAACATACCATTTTGTAAATAATTTAAAGCAGCTTGTATGCTTAATCTCTGTTCTTCCCTGGAGCTCAGCTTACCAATCCATATATACAGGGTGTCCTCCGTATCGAGTAACATTACGTTTTCCGGAAGCAGATCTTTCTGTTGGAAGAATGGGATTTCTTGAACTAAAATTTAGGCGAAGAAGTTTATAAATTTATAGTAGGATTAGTTTTAACTGTATTTAATTACTAGTAGGATTAAGTAGTAAATTAATAACTAGTAGGATTTGTTTTACCTGTATTTGTTTGACTTGGTGTACAAAAAAACAATCGTGCTGGTTTTTTGTCTTGATCATTCCTCACCATTCTAGTGGAATAAGACATACGACCTCCCAGAAGATTGAAAAAGTCTTCTTTTTCTTTGCCTTTATCAAAAAAAGAAATACATATAGTACAAAAGCTCAAAAAAGATTGAATTCAATTGCCGGATACTTGGACGAACAATTTTGAAAGACGGATCTTTTGACGGACAAATATTGGGGATAAACATTGCGTTTAAATAACGGACAGTCCGTCATAATTAGTTAGTGATACCTTAATATTTCTTTCTAATACCTTCCAAAGTCAATTCGAAATCCTTTCCAGCAAATCCTTTGGCTATTTCCCTCTGATCTCCAGTCGAATAATTCCCACACCACACGAAGTACTTCTTGCCCCTCCTCAGGACAAAGCAGCAATTCGAGTCCAACGAAGAACTCTCTAATTTCACTTGTTCGGCCTTGGCACTGTAAGTTGTCGATCCATACACTCTCAGGAGGTATTGGTGTGGAATTTTCAGGTTCTTTCCCGTTTCTGAAATTATGGTAAATTACAGATATAGGCTGTATTCCGTTGCAAAACCAGGCGAACCAGACCGGTAAACTACGGTAAAGAGCGGTTCCTGAAAAACATCGGTTTGATACGGAACGGTTTGGTAAAATACTGGAAACGTCAAATGTTGACGTTTTCTAAATTTCAATACCTCTATTATAAAATTTATCTTTTATGCATTTTTAATGTACCAATTCTCTGATTTTACGTTTGCTTCTTCTTTTCAATGGAGTTCAATAATGAAAAGTACCTTATTAATAACTGTTAAACTGGTTAGACAGCTCAAGTGAAGATTTGTAGGTCCAATATTAAAACAGATCAATAATAAATAAACAAATCTAATCAATATTTATATTTTTATAGCTTACAAAACATTTACGATTACTTGTCTTGTTTTTCATGTTTTATTTAAATGTTCCTGACTTAAGAAACAATGGCTGCATGATAAGTTTAACTTGTTTAAATGGTTAAGTTGTTTAAATGGTCCTAAAAAGTCATTCTATTTAGATAATGAAATTTATTTACCTTTACTGCCTACCTCCATTGCTTTTGGATGTAAATACAAAATAATATTACAAATTTTAGAAATTAAATGAGAATTTCACTCGAACTTCCAATATTTGCTTGATTTCCGTCATATAAATGACAATGATTGACAAACAAGACCAGAAAAACCAGCCTTCTCGCGTTGATTAGTTTGGTGACAGGGTGACAGTTATAACCGAATTTTTCAGGAACCGTGTTCCATGACTGTGTTCCGTAATAAAATTTTTTTTAGGAAACCGATAGAAACGGAACATAAAACCATAACCAAGATCAGCAACGGAATACACGCATAGTGTGCCTAACTGCCTAACGAGACAATATATGACAGTGACAGTTTATCATAATTAATATGGGTCAAATTAAAAATTTGTCAAGGAGCTATGATATTTTTAAAGGATTATTACCATCAAAGTCCGTTCCGTTGCCCTTAAATATTGTTAATTTGCCCTTAAACAATTGCAGGAAATGTGCTGGCTCGTGACCTTCAATTATTCTGGCTTGGAACCCTAATTGTCCCAGTTCTTCATCTATTTCGTCCAGTTTGGTTGTTGTTATGTTGATCTCGTCTTGTGATGCGTCGGATCCCTTGAAAAAAAATATACTTATGCTTATTACACCAAAGTAAAAATACATATGAGGCGTCAAGTTGCAAAAACGTACAGCCTCGCTCCAATAAGTGCATAATAAGTGTAATTTTTCAGGTTTATTCTCACTATACCTTCCGTTTTCATTCCATATCCATTCCATATCCGTTTCGTATTTTTTACTGCATTGACGCTATACGTTAGTTTCCGTTCCGTATCAGTTCCATACTTTTTATTTTACAATTTATATCATTACGAAAATTTTATTTTAAAAATTTGTATCTTTTGAAAAAGATAATAGACTTAATTAAGATGTGAAAGAATAAACAAATATCAGCAAAATGTTAACAGAGCTGGTACAAATATAAGAACTTGACAATGCTGTTTCCGATACGCTTCAGTCCGTTCGTCAAAAAAAAATGTATGGTAGGAAAGGATATGGATCGGATAGTGTGCATTGTCCTATTCATTTACATGATATAATATTTTATGTAAACGGAGGGGATCTGATACGGAAGGTATAGTGAGACTCAACCTTTACTCCTAATAAAACAGTATATTAGTATATATTATATACTAAATTGTTTATGTTTATAAACCTTTAGGGGACTAAATATATTTTTTTAAATACTTACTATCCAGCAATACAAGAGATGTTTTTCGTCGTGGTGTGTTTGGTAACTATACAATGCGATGTAGCAATCTCCAGAAAAGAAGTACCCATGCCTTTCTTTCGGAATCTCCACGATTTTTGAGTGTTTGATCCTCCAAAGTGTCATTCTTCCTGTTCCATCGTCGATCAGTTGGGTTTCAGCAGCCAGGCTAAGTCTGTCCTCCATAGTGATGGGGTCAAACTTTGTTATAAGCATAGGAAGTTTCGTATCTAGAATTAATCAATTGTTGATGATATTCATTTAAGAAAATGCTGAAATATAATACTGTAAGGGATTTAAGAAAATATATAGAGAACAGAAAATATCATATAGGACCGACATTCATAATCTCAACCTTCGATTTGGAGGTCGCATCTCGCCTCCTGCTCATAGAACATCCAGAGGTCGTTTACTTATAACATATACAAACTCTATAATTTGGTACCTGACTATTTAAGAAATCTTTCACCTGAATCGTTCAAATTTTCCTACACGTCATTAATTATTTAGTAAGTAAGACTTATTAAGTAAGACTTTATAGTTTGTTCCGGCTGGAGTGCCTGCCCAAACCTTATTTCATTGATACCGTTTGTTTCTTTGCTGTTCCGCTTTTCCCGTCTTTGATCATATATATGCTTATGTTTTTTTATAGTTTATATTAGGGTAAACTAAGTTTAGAATTGTAATTATGAATTTAAGAACACAGTACAATAAGTGAATGGATATAATATATTTTTTTATGGATCTGGATGATTATTTATCAAGTTAAAAAGGCCTGTAATGAATTATAATAATAATAACAGCACCCGTACATAGTGTTTAACGCCTTGGGAGTAGCAAGGTACAGGTTGCCATGCTAGAGCCGTTCGGTATACAAGGAAGTTAATGTGGCTAGCACTACGCTTCAACCGCCTATTATTAACTCAGGATTGTAAATCCCAAGTACTCATTTAAGGCTGAGTCGACCTAAGTACCCAAACTATTTTTATTTTAAAATAGTTATTTTATTTTAAAAATAGGCTGATGAAATGCCGGCTGTAGGATTCGAACCCACAACCTTCAGATTGGTAGACGAGCGCTGTACCTCTACGCCACCGGGCACCTTCTGTAATGGATTAAAAATTAATAATAATGCACATTTGGATGAAGAAGAGTAATAAAAAGGATTGGAAGAAAGAAACGCTTACTCAGCATATAAAAGACCATACCATCACGTGGTATACTGATGCTTTCAAAACCAAAGCAGGGACAGGGATAGGAGTATTTGGGCCGAAAACTGAATACTCCGAACCAATGGGCACCTACCCCAGTATCCTTTAGGCAGAAATTTGCGCTATCGAAAGATGCGTACAATTTATCTTAGATAGGAACTATCGAAAACAGGAAATTGCCATCCTATCCGATAGTCAAGCAGCACTTAACGCGATCAACTCAGTAACCATCAATTCGAAGTTGGTCAAAGAATGCCTAGAAGCTCAACAAATTAGGCAAAGAAAATAAAACTACTCTGGTTGCCTGCTCACCAAGGGATAGAAGGCAATGAAAAAGCAAATGATATAGCTAGAAAAGGAGCGAACACTCCACTAACTGGACCAGAACCGTTCTGTTTTTCAAACGGGAACCAGCTGAAAGCGGAACTGAAGAATCTGGAAGACTCCATCCGTAACTTGGAATGGGTGTCCTCCAACGGTCTAAGACACTCGAAAAAGTTCTTTAGAACTTATGACCGAGAAAAATCAAAGGTTTTCCTTGATTTAAGTAAAAACAATCTTCGGATTGTCACGGGGTTTCTAACAGGACACTGTCTCCTCAACGAACACCTCAGTAGGCTGAAACTGAGAAACAACGGCGAATGCAGATATTGTGGGGAAAATGGGGAAACACCAGAACACCTTATCACTGAGTGCGGCGAGACGACGACCATTCGTGCCATGAACCTTGGTACGTCTGATGTCGAGGATGGAGAGCTGGCCTCTGTGGAGCCGTCTCAGATACTGGCTTTTCTTAAAGCCCTGAGACTGTATGATTAGTTATAACTCGTTATAACTCAAGAAAGGGGAACACACAATAGATCTATAAGGTCGCGTTGATTAACCCCCCTCCTAAACATTCTACATTCTACATATGGATGAAGATTAGCTTTTTTCAAACACAGATGCGACGATTTGTGCCAACAAAATTGTATTTCGTTACCACAGATTAAATCTGTGCAGAGGCTATAAACTTTAACGATTCTCAAATTCAAATAAGGTATCTAAAATGCCCAAAAAGGCTAGCAAAATAAATAGGTAGCCTAACATTTGATGCTAATCTCAAAATATTGCCACTAAACCAAAAAGGCCATGCAAACAAAAGTTGGCTTCTTGTTAACAGTCTGGTATTTTTATCTAAGTATTTTCTGAATTTGTTTTGGTAGAATTTGAGCTATTATATTTTTTGATAAAAAAGATAACAGCAAAATATTGTTCTCTCCTTAGATAAAAAAGACTTACTTTTGGAATTTGAAGTTTCTGTTTTCCATGACTTGAACAGCATCTTAAATTCCACCGGTTCAAGGCCTTCTACGACGCGGGTTACTCTAGTGTTACTAGGGTACTTTTTCTTTTTGACGAATCCTCTGGCGTTTCTCAAAGCTTCATTTTTCTCTCTCTCGTTTACTTTTTTTCCAACCCAGACCCATATACCTTTGGTATCTTGATCGATAATAAAAACATCCTAAAAAATAAATTGATATCAAATTTTTAATTAGAACTATATGGGAATTAGATTTCTTAAAAAAAAACAGACCAAGCTCTATAAGGCTCCCTCCAGGTTTTTTATTATTTAATATTTTAACACCAATATGTTTTTTAATGCAATATTTTTTTTAACACACCTCTGATGTAAGGTCCGCTTGAAACATCGGTCCACTCTTTATTTCGGCCACCCTATATTTACCGCTATTTTCCGAACATTTGTACAGCCTTAAAATGTTTCTGTTGTTGTCAGATTTTCCATTTTCTTGCGAAGATTCGGGTAAAATTACACGTTTTTCTAAGGGTAGGTATTTGCCGAACTCCTTCAGTGTATCAGAATTAATGGTTTTCTCATATCCATCATCAATGAAGACAACGTTTGATATTTTTTGGCGATCTTTCAAGTCTTGAGAGAGCTGTAAAGAGATTTGCACTATTTAATTTATTACAGTACAATATTTGAGAAGTTCTTGCCATTGCTGTACCTTCCCGCTGTTCAAAAAAGTTGTTATTAAATTGAAAACAATTTTGTTTCATACATAACGATGTAAGCTCAATATATTCAATCACAGTTTTGTTGTTGAAACCATTTGCGTTCAGTAATTCCTTCAAGTAGCCTAAAGTATGTGAAATTGGAACACTTGTAAACAACGAAGATACATCAATCAATACATTTCGGTCTCCTTTGATGTATCTTTGTTGTTCCCAAGTGTTCCAATTCGACATGCTACTTGAAGGAATTACTGAACGCAAATGGTTTCGACAACAAAACGGTGATTGAATATATATAGCTTACATCGTTATGTCTGAAACAAAATTTTTTCAATTTAATAACAACTTTTTTGAACAGCGGGAAGGTACAGCGGGTCAGTTTGAGTATTTTCCAAGAGTATGGTTTAGGTATGTGGATGATATTTTTGCTGTTTTTGACACTCATTCAGACACCATAGATAATTTTATTTCTAAGTGAAATAATCGTTTTCCTTCCATTAAAACTTACACATGAACAACGACAGATTACCATTTCTTTATGTATTAGTTATTAGAAATACTAATAATTGCCTGGAATTTGATATTTATAGGAAAAATACCACTACGCGCAAATATATTCCTAATGAATCATATCATAGTGTTGAACATAAAATGGCTAGTTTGAATTTCTTAGTTCATAGACTGCTTAGTTTTCCACTCACCAACGAAAGATATGAAAGAGATACATTAGGAATGTAGCTGAGTGTAATGGATATTGTCCTTTACTAGTTGATAATTAGAAAACGTAGATATAAGTTTTACATTTTTGAAAATTCGACTTTTCATGTGGAGAAAGATACGTCAAAATATTTTTCAATACCGTTTGATAGAAAGTTATCCCGTGGTCTAAAAGGAATTATTTAGAAATCTCAATTATAAACTTGTGTATAGTGCTAATAATAAATTACAATTATTAGGTAATCCAAAGGATAAAACACCTCCACTGGAAAGGTCGGGTATTTATGAAATTTCTTGTAAAGACTGTAATCAGAAGTATGTTGGGCAAACTAGAAGATCAATATTAACTAGATTTGAAGAACATTTAGCTCAGATAAGATATGATAGACCGGATAAATCTTGCGTTACTGAACATATTGTTGATAAAGAACACATGGCTAGACCTTGCCACGCCCACTCGGAACCCACTGAGCGAGTATATAAAAAAGGCTATACTTAAACTGCCGTTAAACGGTAGCTTACTAAAATGCCGTTAATAGATATGACGTCGTTGATGTGACGCACTTGACGGCTTTGTGAAATATAGGAATTTTATAAGGACTAACCAACGCTATCCACCCCACCAAATAACCAACTTAACCAACGCAATTAACCTCGACACTGATAACTAAGCCAATCCAACCAAAAAGAGTGAAACCAATGCAATAAGATCACGCTATAAGCAAAAAATATATAAAAAAGTCTTGGTCGGCGTGAGATTTGATCCACGGACCATTCGCTTACGAACCGATAGCCTCAGCCACTGACCCACAGGTGCTCTTGCAAAATGCTTAAGGCCTTATGGCTAGGCATTACTTTCCGTCGACATGAATGACGTCACAATATCTATTAACGGCATTTTAGTAGGCTACCGTTTAACGGCTGTTTAAGTACATCGTATAAAAAGTCTTGATCATCTGCTGATGATGCTAACATGTGTAAAAAAATACACAAAAGGTGTATTGTGGTGATTTAGTGTTTTATTAAGCTGAAAATGATGATGTGTTTATTATTACTGTTTATACCGCTATAACTACACTAATGACACAAATCAAAAATTAAGCGACACTTACTTTGGCGGCGTGTCTTTTGCCTTCAACACTGGCTGCCCTACCGACCCATACAAAAACAGTCTGACTTGTCTGCACAATAAAAACATCAGAACTTCTAAAATGTGTCCAAGACACGCAATCCAGTTGTATCAAAGCTGGAATGTTCTTTCCTCTCACCCTGTATAATTTTACTTCGTTTTGGTTGTTGTTTTGGATCAGTTCAGGCTGCAATATTCTGAAAAATAACAAATTATTTATTTTTTCTTGAGCTTCATTAAAAAAATACAAATTTTGAAGTTTTCAGTCAAGTTTTTATTTGGTTTGGTAGGTAATGAATTGAATAATGATAATAAATCGAAAAAAAGAAGAGCTTCCGAAACATAACAGAATCGAACCTATGTCGATATGAAAAATAAATATAATTTTTACGTGAGAAATATCCCCGCGAGGGATAGCAAATATTTCTTGAAACATCCTGTAGACATTACTGATATTTTAGTTAGTTCTTACTTGTATCCATTTTTGAAATAGCTCAAGAATCTGTCACTCTCATTGCCTTCAGTTTCTCTATGTTGTGTTGACGAGCAATTAAGAAGTGTATCCAATTCCACAGATTTATAGGCAGCTACACCTGATTTTTCTGGAGTGGTATTTTTCCCCAGCCAAAAATGGACGTGGTACTCGATAGCTTTACCTTTCACATCTCTTTTCTGAAACAAGAATTATTTTTTATCTACCATAAATAATTATTAATTATTAGTTAGCTCAAATCATTCAATAAAAAGACTAAATGATATGATCTGGATATAATGATAGCAAAATTGGATAAAAATAACTTTCGAAGATACGTTGATACAAGGGTAACTGCAGTAGGTGAACACTACTTACTACAGAGTCTATTCCAGAAGGCTGTCCAAATTGGGATGCTGCATAGACTATATACGATTCTGTATCATAGAATGTCCCGTACTGTTCTTTGGTGAGAGCCACGACGTTCATGTTCTGCAATTAAAAAAATCTATTTTTGTTTTATTCTCACCTGTAACCAGAGAGCTTGGGAAAAAAATAAATAAAAGGTGATTGTACCGGAACCCAGTAAAAGGTAACCCAGTAAGGTGATTCACATTTAACCGTATAATTTAGCTAATTATTAAATAAAAGAAAAAACTGCCTGAAAATTATTGCGTTGAATACCTAAATGGACGTTCTCTTTAAAATTAAAACTAACAATAATAAATCAACATACAGCATGAACTATATAGTGTACGAAAAAAGCTCCATATCTAGGTATACTATTTCTATAAAATATGCCGGAAATATAGAAGAGTACAATTTAAACACATTTTACTAGATATTATAAAGAGTGATTTAATAGATATTTACGTTATAAGTTCGGTAAATTACCTTTTACAGTATGAGCGAGATGTTGATACAGGATGAGTCTTAAATAAGTGCAAATTTTTCCAGAGCCGGTATATCTCGATAAAAGAAACATGATTTATTTTCTCTTTACCGTTTTTTAAATAAGTTAAAAATAATCGAGTTGCTCAAGTTTGAAAACTTAAAGAAAAATGATTTATTTTTTAAACATTTTAAGAGCCAACGGATTTTTTTTTCTCTATTTGCGTCCCTTTTAGTGCCGTAACCATAGTGACCATCAGAGAAATTATACCGTAGACAAATTTCCGGTAAACAGGCAATTTTACTAAGCACTTAACAAATACTCTCAGAACTTAAAAACGTTTTCTAAAATATACAGGAAAATCTAAAAGAAAATGCACGATTTTCAACATCTTTTTTTGCGAAATAAACCTCATAAACGTGTTCCTGGGGTCGAGATATGCCACTTCTGCAGATATTTTTTTTAAGACTCACCCTGTATAATATTTCCAGACTTTATTTTATGGGGGAAATTGATATGGATGATTTAGTACTATAAAATTACCAATAGTAATACCATTACTTTTTTGGTCTATGTTATTTAGTCTATACTATTATATTTAGACTAAAAAAGTTATTTTTCATATTGATTTCTGGAAATAAAAGTGAACCTAGATTATTTTCCTGAAAGTAATTTAGGGAAATTTAACAACACAATTTTTTTCGTCCAAAGAACCTGTCTAATTTAATGTCTAATTTTTATTTTTTGTATCAAAATAATATGCAGTATTTAATATTTTAAAATTTTTGTGAAGATTCAGACAGGTAAACCACATCAAATAGAACTTATCTAGTGACAATAGATTTATCAATGCGTATTCATGGTTTGGAACTGAAAACAAATTAATTTGGTTTGGTTTTTATGTCTCGTAACTCTCATTTTTTTGTGCAGAAGTCTCCTATATTGGCGAGATAAAAAATACATTTGCAGTCAAAATATTTCCGATAAAAGATAAATTTTATGAATTCCTAAAAATTTTGAATTCTCTGTTTTTGTTTAAATTTATACATCTTGACCAGTTCACAAGAGTTGCAATTTACTCTAAGGTTATAATTAGATTAATTAGAATCACTTATTTCATCACTTGTTGCAAAATGACATATCAAAGTATGAAGAAAAGTGTCACTTTAAAGGTCAAAATTAAAAAAGATATATTGAGAGATATATTTGAGTAAACTTACTTCAATTTTCCACATAAGGAAATCAGTGTAGTTCTTGTTGATTTTCTTGAAGGCAATGTCAACATTGCCGTTGATACCATTGCAATGCCCTTCATCCTGAAAACAGATAAATCGTTTTTGTTATTTGTTAATTAAAAATTATAGAATATATTTATTCTATAATTTTTTTAAGAAAATTTTTAAGATATTTTTGATTTAAGTAATAAATTTTTAAAGTAATGCTTGACTCGTTCTTTTGTATGCCGAAATTCCATCAAAACCAAGAATTTTCTGCACTAAATCACGAAAAATGTATTACATTATGCCGAATTATAATATGCTAATCGGCAAAAATTATCTCTTTCTGGTAGGATTCACAAAAGCGATTAATGAATTATTACGCTTCAAGGTAATGATCGCTTATCTCTTGACTAACGGTAAACAAACATAAAATCATTTTTTGTAACGCTAAAAAAGTTAATTAGGTACATTTTGGTTACATTAAAAACGTTATGTTAATTACTTTTATAAAGAACGTCAATTATAAACTTGGGTAAGGCACTACCAATAAATTAAAACAACTCAAAGAGAGCTGGCTACATAAAAAACCTTATCATAGTTACATGGCTATTTTTCCTTGTGAAGTATCCTTTTGTGTAGCCATTATGAAATAGTCATGTCTGCCAGCGCGATCAGGGGGCTTAAAACAGAGGCGGCTAATGGAAAGGGTGAAATTTTGACGCTAAAAATATTACACGAGTTATAATTACGAGAATAGTATTTATTTATTATTAAGAGACGTGGAAAATTGTTGGCAGACATTTTTCTCGTGGCTAAAATGCCGGCAGACAACGCGAAAGAGGCATGGTATTTTGAAAAAACAATTATCGCACAAATGCATACCGATTGGTGGAATGTCATGTTTATTTATTTAAAAAGCCGTATGCAAAAGGGTAGACAAAAAGATCGTGGCTAAATCAGCGGCAGACAGTTATCAAAAGCATCTTTCTTAACTACCATACTTACGGTTTTACTCTATGGTTACGACACTAAACGAATGGATGCAAATACAGAAAAAAACAGGTGGCTCACAAAATTATTTAAAAATAAATTAATTTCTTTTTAAATCTTCAAAGCTGAATAACTCGGTTATTTTGGACTTATTTTGAAAACGGTAAAGAGTAATATGTTTCTTTTCTATTAATATGTTTCTTTTCGTAGAGATCTATCAGCTTTGAAAATATTTGCACTTATTCAAGACTCACCCTGTAGAGTAATATCGCGCTTTTGATAACTGTCTACCGCTGATTGAGCCACAATCTTTTTGTCTGCCCTTTTGCATACGGCTTTTTAAGTAAATAAATATAACATTCCACCAATCGGTATTCCATCATTTTTTTTTTCAATATTTCATGCCTCTTTCGCGTTGTCTGCCGGCATTTTAGCCACGAGAAAAATGTTTGCAAACAATTTTCCACGTTTCTTGATAATAAATAAAAGCTATTTGGCAACTTGTGTAATTTATAATATTTTTAGTGTCAAAATTTCACCCTTTCGATTGGCCGCCCCCGCTTTAAGCCCCGGGATCGCGCTGGCCGACATGACTATTTCATAATGGCTACATTAAAGGATACTTCAAAAGAAAAATTAGCCATGTAACGATGATAAGTTTTTTATGTAGCCAGCTCTCTGTCTATAAGATGAAACAGCTCCACTGAAATACTGAAAAGATCAGTGTCAATCAATTTTGTTGATTAATTTAAATCTCTGCTGTTTATGTTATATAGTAGGTATATACAGAGTGAGTCTTAATTAACTGCAAATATTTTCAGGGCTCGATAAAACAAACAGATTATTTATTCTTTACCGTTTTTCAAATAAGTCTTAAGTTTTAAATATAAAAATAGGTATTTTTTATACAAGACGACCGAAAAGATTAATTCATGAGCGATGAAATCGCGAGTTAATTAATTTCAGGAGACTATAAAGCGATTTTATCTTCGTGTATAAAACAATATATTTTTCCATAGCGAGTTACGTTTTAAAAAATATTCAGAAATTATTATTTCAAGGAATTTATTACGAGTAGAAAAAATATTGTGCTGGGTTTTGGCGTTGGTTTCTATGTAATTTGACCAATAAATAAAGCTGTCTCTTTAGTTGTCAGTTTTGGGTCAAAATTTTTTAATTCTCTTTCGTGTCGATTGCTGATTGAATTGGAGCCAGAAATGGCTCAAAAGGAAATAAGTAAATTACCAACAGATATTCAGGATGAGGCGACAAACGCCATATCCAAACTACTTCCATTTAAATCCCGAATAACTTATGAAAAGGAATACAAAAATTTTCAAAAATGGAAGCAATTTAAAAACTTGCGAGAAGAAATAAAGTTTTTAACCTATCCTCGCTGTTAAAGTATCATTTAATCTACCCTTGCGGTTAAAGTAGTATCTATTTTATCTACTATTTTTGATAGATATAAGGCAATTTTAACAGTTGCTATGGAAAAAAATTATTTTTTGCTTAAATTTTGAGAACCACTGGATCTTTTCTGGGTTTTCTTCCTTGTAAATGTAATCTACTACCTATGTATATTGCGATATTATCAACTAATTGTTATAAGGACAAACTTATTAGGAATATTTTTTTCGGTATATGCGTAACAAGCCAGAAATTTTAACAACAAACTACATAATTTGGACCACCGCGTGTTTTAACCCGAATACAAGAAACAACGAAATTGTTTAATAGCCCGTAACATAATGTCCGACATCCGGTACAAAGAACATAATAAGTACCATAACATAATTACCACATCGTCAAGAAAAGAACCCAGTATAAAAAGTTTAAAAAAATAATGAAATAAAGAGAAAAAATGGCTCTCTTTTCACAATCTTTTGATTAAATGTCAGCAGTGCAGCTAAAACGGTAATGATAATAAATAAGTAACGCTAGGTATATTTTCAGATCGATTTTATAGTTTTTTAATTGATTTTCTGTGCTCGATCTATTCTAGATCGATTTCGAAGAGGAGATGGAGAGATTTGTAGTTATAAAAACATTTTTATGAATGATCTCTTTGAATTGATGCCAGAAAATCAATTTTTATCAGAGTTAGAAAAGCAGCTTTTTTATTTTTAATAAAAACAGATATATTTTATGGTTTAAAACACTTTTTTATTTGCTTTAAACATGATTATGTCTCGCAAATCGGGATTTTGTTTAAAATACTGTTTTTTAAACTCTGTTTTAAACCATATAGTGTAGATGACATTCAAAATTTAAGTAAGTTAAGTAATATTCCTTTTGATTTTTAGAGAACCTAATGGTACTCCTCTTTTTATAGCACAGAATAACAGGTTTAAGTGATTTAGTAGATACCACATTTTTATGAATTCTGTTATCAGAGTTAGGTATCCTCTTCTCTTATGAGTTTATCATTTTTTTTTCGACAGGGTAGCTTGTAGAGTAAAAAACTTGGGAATTTTGTTTAAGTGCAAACCCAAAGTAACGTACTAGGATGTATCTCAGGAAAATATTTTAACTTCTACAGGGTGGACCAAAAAAGTATGAATGGATCGGAATGATTTTATTTAAATGGAACACTCTGTGTATTATTGCATTTTTGGCTTCCTTTCAAATCATTTTATATAATCCTAGTTTCAGAGATACTAATAAATAAATAAAAATTTTTCTTAAAAAAATTATTACAAATACAAAAACTGTCCTGAAATCAAAAGTATTACTTTATACCTATGGTCTAGACTTAACTTTGCCATAAATATACTAATCTTAAATAATACAGGGTATTCAAAATTCTACTCCAAACTTTCTAAAATACAAAATAATTTTTCTTCTTTTTTTGAAATGGAACACCCTGTAAATTATTTTTTTATTAGATAGAGAATTAAACAATTAATAGAGAGAGTATTTCAAAATTTTTAAAAGTTTCGCAGATCCTTGGGGAATTTTTTCAAACAGCTCTTTAAACAGTAAAATACGAGAGAAAAATCATTGGGCCACATAAAATATAAAACTGCCAATATCTGCGAAACCGTTACAAATTTTGAAATATTCTTGAAATATACAAAAAATGTTCGTTTTTTTAATTCCCCATCTATTAAAAAAATAATATACAGGGTGTTCCATTTAAAAAAACGAAGAAAAATTATTTTATATTTTAGAAAGTTTGGCGTAGAATTTTGAACATCCTGTATCATCTAAGATTATGAGGTTTATAGCAAAGTAAGTACAGTCCATCTAAAGTAAATACCTAATGTATAGTTTTGATTTCTGGTCTTGTGCTTTTAATATTTTTTTATGAAAAGCTGAAAAATATGTATGTTTTATTTATTTATTAATATCTCTGAAACTATCAAAAAATATTTTCTCATATCTTAGAGTTATGTAAAGTGATCTCAAAGAAAGCCAAAAATGCAAATACAGGGTGTTCCATTTAAAAAAATCAACCTGATCTGCTAATACTTTTTTGAGCCACCCTATAAAAGTTAATATAATATTTTTTAATTTTTTTTTCTATAAATATTTTTCTGAAATACATCTTACTACATACTTTTTTATCACCCTGTATATTATTTTCTTATTAGAAAAAAAAACTGAAATCATTTTACTAAACCAAATAATCAAATATTTAAAAAAATAACTGCGAAAATACAAAAAATATACAGGATGTTTAAGACATGCACCAAGCTAAGATCAGAGGGTTGAAAAATCGTGTCAATTCAACATGAGTTCGAAAATGCACAGTTTTAGAGATACAGGATGTTAAAACTTAAAAAAAGTAATTTTCTTAAATATATTTTTTAATTTGCTGTAGGTAGCACCTTGGTAGCACTGAACATTAATAATATACCTAAATAATTGTAATTTGTAATCAAGTTTTTTATTTTTTTACTTTAGTTGTTTCGGACCCTTATTTATAGGAACTTTTTTCCATATTTTTTGATGAGAAATTATCTCCTGAAATTTGACCGTGCATTTTACGAATACTCTGTATTTTATAGCACCTTGAAACAACATACAAACATAATATCGCAATTTTAAAATAAAAATTGTGAGAAATTTGACAAAAACATTTTTAAGCCACTTAAAATTAC